AACAAAAAATTGGGAAGAAGGAAGTTTATTGGTATGAGGTTACTTGTCAATGACCAGTGATTTGCAAATATTTTTTTCAGTCTGTAGCTTTTCCTTCATACTCTTATTAGAGTCTTTTGTGGAACAAAAGCTTTCCATATTGATGAAGCCTAATTTACCAGTTTTTATTTGTGGATCATGTATTTGAAGTTAGGCTGAAAACTGCACCAAGCTCTAAGTCCCTATGGTTTTCCTTTTTATAGTTCAGTGGTCTGCGTTTGAATATATGATATATCTGAAGGCTGGAGAGATGGTGTAGTGGTTAAAAACACTCCTTGTTCTTCCAGAAGACTGGAGTTCAATTCCCAGCAAGCACTTTGAGTGTCTGTATCCTCAGCTCCAAGGGTCAGGGGTCTCTTGATCAGGTTTTCTTTATTTGCCAATGGTTATATGGTTTCTCTCTACACTGTGACGGTCCTTCAAGCTTTTTAATACATTTGAAGTTACCCTACGCTTATTACATATTAATATTACATATTAATGAGATGTGGCATGTTCATTGCCACATTCTCAGTTTCTGGAAAATAGGAGTGCCCCTCGAAATGGTCAGCATTTTAAAATAGTAATAATGTAGTCATTGTTGTACTTGGAATTTTGTTGCAACTGCCTCATTTGTAGAGTTATTTTTCATGTTGGTATAAAACTCAGAAACTGATTCTGTCAGTTGTTAAGAGAGATGCCTTTGGAAATTTCTGCAGTCCTTTTAGGTCAGTCTTTAGAATTTGATGAATTTCATTCAATAACCTTCAACATTCTCTTTGAACCCAGAGGTATGACTTTTTCCCCCCTCCCTTTTCCTTAATTGTAATATGGTGGGATTTCAATGTCCTGGTCAACAATAGACCAAGGAATTATAAATGTATTTGGGGCATGGTCTGCTACTTTTCTTTGTAGTTTTTATTTAAAAATCTTTAGAATGTTTTTTTTTATAAGGAGTGTGTATTCGTCAGCTTCCAATTGCTGTAACAAAAGAATTGAGAACAAGTTTTAAATGAGGAGTTTTATTTTGGCTCAGAGTTCTAGAGGTTTTAGTTCCTGATTGGCTTTTTCTGTTGCTGCAAGTCTGTGTGGAGGCAGAAGATAGCAGCAGGGGTGTATGGAGAAGGTGGCTTACCTCATTAGATATGTGTACTCTGGAGAGAAGGCCTGCTTTTCAAAGGCACACTCCCAGTAACCTCTTCTTCTTCTTCTTCTTTTCTTTTTTTTTTTTTTTTTTTTTTTTTTTTTTGGTTTTTACGAGACAGGATTTCTCTGTATTGTTTTGGAGGCTGTCGGTCCAGCCTGGCCTCGAACTCACAGAGATCCGCCTACCTCTGCCTCCCAGGTGCTGGGATTAAAGGCGTGCGCCACCACCGCCGGCAGTAACCTGTTCTTCTAAGCAGGTGCCTGCCATCCATTCAGCTGTGGATTAATCCCATACAGAGTACGTTAGCTGACCCTTTGCATTAGTTACTCCTGTGACTGCTATAGTAAAACACTTAATAAAAGCAGCTTAAAGAAGGAAGGGAGGAGACTTTATTGTGTGAGGTTCATAGTTTGAGGAGATAGAATCCATTTTGAAGGTGACGGTGTGGCAGTGGGACTGCGAGGCAGCTGTCAAATCGTGTCTGAAGTCAAGAGTCAGAGAGACGTGACTGCTGGTGCTCAGTGTAGGGCTCAGTGATGGGATGTCACCACTACCTTTATTGTGAGTCTCCCTCTTCAGTTCAGCCCTCTGGAAACACCTCTGCAGTTACCCTCACATCTGCGCCTCCTAGGTTGTTCTAAATCCAGTGAAGCTGTCCAAGAAGACTAACCATCACACCCTTACTCTGTGTGGTAGAAGTGTTTATAGGACAGTTGCTGCGGTTTATAAGATGTGGAAGTAGAGGAAGATTGACAGCTGGAGATAAGGGTCAGTACCAGCTCTCAGTGACTGGCTAAGGTTTTTTCCTATCCTAGGAAGTATAACCCATATTAATTAGACTCTTGACCTCAAACACAATGTGATAGCTTTTAAGGTAAGTTAGGATACACACACACACACACAGAGGGTGGGGGTAATGTGTGTACGTCAGATTTTAAATCTTCAAAGGTGTTAATTTTGTTTTAAGGACAAATAAATATAGTAATTTAGTGAAGAGAAAATATTATGGCCATTATTTTCTAAATAATCTGTGGTTTAGAATGTTTATTTGAAGTAATCAGATGGCTGTGAATTTGCTTGGCCTACTTGGTTGCACAAAAGTGATTTGGCAGTTAACCTAAGTTTTAATAAATCAAAGCAACTGTCATTTTAGTGAAGTGATTATACTGCACAATATTCAGAGGACTATTGAAGCCTTGCAAAAGGGTTTATTTACTTGGGATGATATTTAAGTATAGTCTCATTGATAAAATGGATATAAATATTTAATGACTGTGTATGTATATATATATTTATTATGAAGTTAAGTTTGTGTTAATTTGTTGTAGCAAGCATGGGAAAAGGACTGATGGTGCTTCCTCTTTAGTTTGCACTAGCAATAGCAATGTGGAGTTGTGTATGTGTGTTTCTCTTATGCATTTACTTACATAAGACCATTTTTATGCAAGTATGTAATGTACTTTGTGTGTGTGTGTGTGTGTGATGAGCAAGCTTTAAGCTTTGTGTTTTAGTAATATTGCTACCAAAATCAGATTTCTTAACATTCCCTGAAGATTTGTGGTGCTAATGAAAGACTGTACTTCTTTTAGGTTGGTATAGTTTTTCCTCTTATTTTTGGGGACCCATCTAAGAAATTACATACATTTGGCTTTTAAAGTAATGGACTCTTACAAAATCTGTGGTTTAGTTAGTTAAGTTTGGATTTCTGTTTCACACTTAAAAATCACATCACATAATTTTTAATGTGCATTTAAAAATTAGTGTCATTTTTTTAACATTGGCGGTGAAAGTAGTTTTTTAGAAGAGAAAATGGGTTCTCATATTTATTTGGATACTGTACAGACAGGGAGCTTAGGTAATATTTGTAGAGATGTATCAGTTAAATTGTTGAAATGGCCTTATGCTTTTCTAAGAGAACTTGCTACTTCTTTTTGGTTTTGTTTAATGTTTCGGAAATTATTCATTCTTTGACATTTGATAAGTCATTGAGCAGGAAGTTTCTGTGGTACCACCACAAGGCTTGATTCATAAACTTGGTTTGGGGTGTGGTTTTAAAGAATAGTGCTTGAGTTTTGTATCATAACAGTTAAACTTTAGCACTACTTTTGATTAATGTTGATATCAGAAAACAAAATTTGTGATAATAAATTTAACAGTTCTAAAATCATGAAATCAATAGGTTATTTGATTAGAAAAAATTACAGTTTTAGTTGTATAAATTATTATAGAAAATTCATAGTTTTAGTTTTTAACTTAAGTTTTTGAGTTATCCTTTAGTATTTAGCAATAATTAAATCAAGATAAAAGAATTTCTCCCCCTTTAAACAATGTAAATACATAGGAAAGTAATTTTTTGCTTATGTTTTTGTTTTCTGGAATAAATAACATGTATTTTCTCTTCCTTCTTACATGTAGGTAGAGCTATAGTATTAGACACTGAATTCATAAAAAGATAAAAAGAATACTTCACTTTTCTAGTTATAAAAAGAATGCATGTTTATGAAGGAAATTTTAAAGTGTACTGCAAAAATTTAGAAACCACTATCTATAAAATATCCCAGAAGCCATCATATGGTGTAACTTTGGTTTTATGTTTAAGTGCCACTCTATGTGCAATTGGGCATGCAATTTTTTTCTAGCTTTACTTTAAGTAATTATTTCAGTGAATATAAAACTTAAAGCACCTCTCTGTTTATTTCCCAAAGTGAAATTATTGGGTGTCTCAATCTCCTCATCCTCCCTTTAAAAGCCAGAGTCTGGTGTAGTCAGGGCAAGCCTTGAATTTCCTATGTAGCTGAGGGAGGATTCTTTTTATACTTCTAATCCTCTGCCTTCACTTCCTGAGTTCTAGAATTACAAACATACATTATCATGCCTGGATTATTTGGTGTGTTATCAAACCAGGGCTTCATGCTTCATAGGCAAGCACTCTACCTCCTGAGCCAGAGCCACAAGTTTTCCTTTAAGAAGAACAAATTCCTGGCTGCGGCTGTAACTCAGTTACTAGAGTAGTTAGTGAGTAAGCAGTCAGCCAGAGCTTGAGGCAGCTGGTCACATGGCATCTACAGTCAGGAAGTAGAGGGATAAGAAAGCGCTTTTGCTCAACTACCTTTTTACTTTGTGTGCCATCTAGGACCCCAGTCCAGGGGATGGTGCTGCTCACATCATAGTGGGTCTTGGGGCCTCGGTCAGCTGGATCTAGAGTCCCTCACAGGCACATCCAGATTTACCACCTAGGTGAGCCTGCCTCCTGGGAAGTGGATAATGAGTGCTAACCGTCAGGGGCATGTTGGACTTTCCTCTGTCCTTCTGACTGTTTCTCCTTTGGATTTTTGTTAAGCAGATCATGCTGGCTTTGTAGAATCACTTTGTAATATCCTTGAAGTTCTTTGGAAGAGTTTGAAGAGAAAAGGTATTAACTCAGTCAAGGTTTGATAGAATCAGTGAAGCCAATTTGGTTTCTTTGTGAGTAGTTTTTGATTATTAGGTCAGTATAAGTATCTGTTCACATTTCATTCATGTTTAAGTCTTGATAGGGTGTGTATGTGTTGGGGTTATCCGTTTTTTGTTTTCTAGTTTGCTGTTGTTACAGTGATGTCTTACAGTTCCATGTCTGTGGCTTCAATTGAATTGTCTCCTATTTCTCATTTATCTGAACCTACTTTATAGAATTGAAGGTGCATCAGTTCATTTGATATGTTTTTAAAAGGCTTAGCTTTGTTGATTTGGGGTGGGGCTTATTTCTGATTGATGTTTATTTCCTTCCTTCTGCAGACTACAGACTTGATTGTTTTTCTTTCTGGTTCCTTGAGGTTTCTTAATTTTCCTTTTTCAGAGGTGGATGTTGGACCCAAGGCTGTGAGTGCATCATGCAAGTGCCCATCACAGAGCTGAGTTCTAGGTGTGGTAGTTTTTATTGTGGGTATTTAAATACTGTTCTAAAATGGCTATACCCATGCATTTGTTGTGTTTTTTGTCTCAGAATACTTGATAGTTTTCCTCTTGATTTGGTCTTTAGGCCTTTGATTTTCTAATAGTGTGCTGTTAAATTTGCATGTTTGTATGTTTGTGTGTATGTTTGGTCTATAATGTAAGTCTGTTATTATTTTTCAGTGCGATGATCGCTCCATTATCTAAACCTATTGTTTTATTTCCCTTCACTCTGCTTCTTATATTTAGGTGTCTTCTTGTTGAGAGTATACATTTGTAATTGCTGTAACTTTTGAAAAAGTGGAACTTTTATATATAACACACACACATCCTTACCTCATGACAGTTTTTAAAGTCTGTTTTGTGTAGTGAAAGTATGGCCACATATACCCTGTTTTTGTTTGCCATCTGACCTATGTGGAATATTTTTCAATGTCCTTTTAGTTCTAGCATATGTGTACTTAAATCTAAAATGAGTCTTCAGATACTATCTGGTTGAGTCTTACTTATTTTGAGTTCATTCAGCAACTCTGTCTCTCACTTTAGGACATAATCTTCTATGTTACTGTGATTCCTTGTTTTCTAGCTCACTAGCTCTCCTCTTCTTGCTGTTTTCCTCTGTGTTTATTATGTTCCTTTTACATTATTGAGCTTTTACTTTTCTTTTTGTGTATCAATAGAAATACCTATAATTGTCATGGATATTACATAAAATGTGATAGTCTCTTTAAGCTAAAAACTTAAATTGCATGCAGAAATTCAAGTCATTTACTCTTCTTCCTGCTTTATGTTACTGATGCCACACCTTACATTTATTTATATTGTATGTTCAGTAATTTAAAAAAAATCTGTGGTTCAGTTTCTGTAGAGAATTAAAAATGATTTATCTTGCTTATATTTTTTCTGTTTTTTATCCTTTTATTAAAAATAGATTTTTTATACAATATATTCTGAATCTGATTTCCCCCTCAGCTCATCTGAGATTACCCACACCTTCCTTCCTAGCGTAATCCATAGCCTTTCTACTCACAGGCTCCATCATCATCATCATCATCATCATCATCATCATCATTCATCATCTAACCCAAAAACAAACAGAATAGGACAAAACAAACAAAAGAAAAATAGCCAAAGCAAAAGTACAACATACACATGAAGATGCAAAGACACACGTTTGTATACAAAAGAATTCCCTACAAACACAAAACCAGAAGCCATAATATCAAAGGGCCTGTAACATTAAAGAAAAAAAAATACCTTGTCAAAACCTTATGAGATAGAGAACCTTCATTGAGTTCATTCTATGTTGGCCATCTGCTGTAGGCATGGGGCCAGCCCTTAAGGCTCCATAGGAGAGAACTGATTTTTCATTTTCAAGTGGTTATCAACGGATATAACTTCTGGTTAGGGGTTAGGGATGCGGGCTTGTGTCCATTTCTCCTCCCAGCTCTGAGACCCCATTTGGTGAGGACTTGGGCAGGCCCTGGGCATGCTACCACAACCTCTGTGAGGTCATATCTCCCATTGGCCATTGTGTTAAAGGGCCTTGTTTCCTTGCTGTCATCTATTCCTTCTGGTTCTTTACTCTTTCTGCCTCCTCTTCCCCGGGGTTCCCTGAGCCCTGAGGGAAGGGATTTGATGAAGACCTTCCATTTAGGACTGATCGTTCCAAGGTCTTTCTCTTTCTCCTCATGTTGTCTACCTGTGGGTGTCTGTATATTTTTCTTCATATGCTACAGGAGGAAGCTTCTCTGATGATGGCTGAGCAAGACATTGATCTATGAGTATAGCAGAGTGTTGTTAGAAGTCTTTTTATGGATATAGTCTTTTAGCAGAGCAGTAGTGTTTGGTTTTCCCCTAGGTCCCTAGCCTCATTTGTAGCTTTAAAACTATTTTCTTTTTATGAAATCAATTTATAGAATTTGAATTTTACTATTCATTTTTATAACAGTTCTAAATCTGTTCGGGAATTAGTTAAAATGTTTTTGTGTCAAAGTTGTATATAAGTTGGATAAATTTAAGATTTCTTTGTTGTTTAAATGCAGTTCTGATGGTCAGTCATACAGAGGAAAGCCGTGAGCTGCTGGGTTTTGAAGAATCCCTTCTAAAGATCTAAAAAGTGCAAAAAGGTAAAGTCTTCTATAGTGTTCCATTGTATTAATTTTTCCCAGAAAAAAAATGTGTGAAAGAACTTTAATTACTTGGCATATTTATTTGAAGAAAACATTACTTAAAAAAAAACAACTTGCTTTTGTGTTAAGTCCAACTGAGAACATTTGCCATACAGTAATTACTATTTATGTATTGCTTTAATTAATGATTACATGATGATTAATAAGACTGAAGCTATCCCTGTCTCAAAGATTGCATTTTAAAGGAAGACAAGCAGTAAACAAGCAGTTAGTACTACCAAGAGAAATAAAATGGATGATAGAGATTGGGGTGGCTTTCATAAGCTTAGTCAGAGAAGGCTGTGTTGAAAAAGCCATTTTAGTTGGGAGTGAAATGGCAGGTGCTAAGCCATGAGTGACTAAAGAGAAAAAAGCTATATTGGCAGAGTGGGAGCAGAAATGACTGGGTGCTTGAAGAACAGAAGATAGATGTGGCTGGAATGTGCCCTAGGTACTACAGAACATACATGAAGATCAGCCTGCAAAAGAAAATGAGGAGTAAGCAGATGACTGCAAAACCGTCAGGTGCTCTGATTAAACTATTTTATTTTGGACACCTTGGAAACCTGTTGAAGAGTACAGCGGCTGGGGAGATGGCTTACTGGGCAAAATGCTGACTATGCAAGCATGAGAGCCGGCCTGAGCTCCCGTTCCTAGCTCTCACATAAGAAAAGCTGTGTGGTATTGTCTACCTGTAACCTTAGCATTAGGGGTGGAGACAGTGCGTCCCCAGAACTCCTTGGCCAGGTTTGCTGTAGTGGTGAGTTTCAGGTTAGAGAACCATATAAGAAAACATATGGTATCAACCTCTGGTTTGTACACAGGCACGGCCTGCACAGACATGCATATACATAACATATATACATACATACATACATGCACCCACACAAACTATAGATATTCCAAAAAGGCATTGTGATACCAGATGTGGTGGCACATGCCTGTTTGAGAGGCAGGGAGAAGATCCAAAATTTGAGGCCAGCCTGGGCTGTGTGATACCCTTCACCAGAGAAAGAGAGAAAGGGTAGTCTGTATTTAAGGCTTTGAAGTTGGAAATCTGGACTAAGATAATAGATTTAGGAGTTGTGGGCATAAAAAAGTACTTAAAAGTGTGCATTCAGTTATCTAGGAAGTGTATTCTACCCTAGTACAGACTAATATTTATCATAGGAGAAGCATGGTCATTAAAATAAATACAAAAGCTGGAAAATGCTCTGCAAGAGAAGAAGTTATATCAGTATAATCCCAGAAGTGATGGCCTATCACATCCACCAGGGGCTAGTCTAAAGAATCAGGGAATCAGCCCCTGCATATAGCAATGCACTATTTGTGATGCCAGGTAAGCAGTCTCAGTGGAGGCTACAGGAGTGCAGCAGAGTGATGAGAAACAGTAAGGACGTCTGTGCTGAGATAGGGAACACTGCAGCTGAATTTCATGTCTTGAAATCTCCTTATAGCCCATGTGTTACCTCCCTAGTCACTGTGGTGCAGTGCCCAACATAAGCTACTTTAAAATAGACTTCTGGATTATAATTTTGGATTTTGAGCTCAGTAGACCGTGATTATTTGTTTTTGTGTTTCTGGGCTCATTGTGAAGTCACCACTAAGGCAGCAGGGACATGAAACAGAGGAGGTGGCAGGATACAGGAAGAGGCCAGGGCAAGACACAGCCTGTGATCTGGCCACCATTGACCTACTTCTCACTAGGCCTCACCTGCCTTCTACCACCCCAATAATACCTTCATGTCCTGAGCCAGTCAGAGGATCAATCTGTCCATTATGTTAGAACCTTGTGGATAAATTGACTTTGAAACTACCCTGTAGACCCATTCAGAGGTTTGTTTAATCTCTTACATTAATAGCTCTAAACCTGTGGGTTACAGCCCCTTTGGGGGTCAAATGGGGGTCACCTAAAACCATCAGAAAACGCAGACATTTATATTATGATTCATAACATTACAAAAATTACAGTTATGAAGTAGCAAAGAAAATAATTTTATGGTTGGAGTCACTTTAACATGAGGAACTGTACTGAAGGGTCACAGCATTAGGAAGGTTGAGAACCACTGTCTTAGATGTTTCTTAATCCAGTAAAGTAGGCCAAGATTAACCAGTCACAGTTAAATAAAGAAAAATAAGTTTTGCAATTGACACAGCTTCATAAGGAAATAGAGAATGGGGGGAGGAATGGACCTTGAAAAGCAAACGGAAGTGTGGTACGTTTCTTAAGCTAGCAGTGGGAGGTCTGAGCCTCTGAAATTGTCATGAATTGAAAGTGCTCTTATTTCTGGAAATGAAAGTGGCGGTGGTACTAAAACAGAGTAATCTGTAATCTGTTGTAAATATACTTAGGAGATTTCTCTTTCTGACTCTGAAGCTGCTGCAGTTGCTCCTGACAGTCACAGAAGTCTGACCATTCTTTAGCAAGTATAAAATAAGAGCTGAATGGGAGGGTTGAAAAGTAAAAGCAATGTGTTAAAAGTCAGAGAAAAGTAAAAATTAGATAAACTTATTAGAAACTGTCCTTCACATTCAGATAAGATTTCTAGCAAAGTCAAGGAAACAAAGGAGGAAAACCTGAACCCTAACCCTACCTTGCTTGGATGGGAGGGTGTAAGTTACAGCCTACAGATTGACTGATTCAGGTAGAAAAATAAATGGAAAACAGTATACATTACCATTAAATTTTAGAACAGAGGGTTGCTTCCATTGTGAAGGAAGTCAGTCACAGAGGAAAGGATTAATAATCAGAGTGGCATTGGACCCCCTGATACCATCTCTCTGTTGGCAAGCAAAAATTAAGTAAATAAAAAATGGTGACACTGTGATGTGTTGATCAGCTTTCAGTTAACCCTGACAAAACACCCAAGATAAACACTTTTAAAAAGGAGGAAAGGGTTAGCTTGGCTTACAGTTCCAGGGGTTTCAGTCTCCAGCCACTTGATGTCATTGCTTATGGTGAGCTTGGACATCACTAGGAAAGCTGCTCACCTTGTGGCACCCAGGAAGTATACTAGAGTGCTGATAACCTCATTTCTCCAACATTTCACCTTTTGACATTCCTATAGCTTCTCAGTAGCCCTGTTAGCTGGGAACTAAGCCTTCATCACATGAGATTTGGTTGCAGGATGTCATTTGAGATCAAACCATGTCATCTAGGGTAGAGAAAACAGCATAACTAGAGACCTAGGGAATCATCAGAATAATAGTGAATACTGATCCCAAGATGACAGCACTGTTACTAGGTATACATAACAGATGTCATGGGAATGGATTAGAAAGTTCTGGGGGAAACAGTTGAAAAATGGTAGTATGTTTACTGTACATGAAGATAAGATACAGAGAATATATTTAATAGTTGTGAGTTTGGAGTAAACCATCAACAAGCATGTTCAAAACTAGATATTCTATAAGGGAAAATAGCCAGTAGTTACTTTTCTCCTGCTGTGATAAAACACCATGACCAAGGCAACTTGTAAAAGGAAGTATTTTATTGTGTTTATAATTACAGAGAGTTAGAGTCCATGATGGCTGCAGGAATAGCAGAGAGCTCACATCTCAAACCACAGTCAGGAGACAGCACCCTGGGAATGGCTTGAAGCTTTTTAAGACACAAAGTCTGAACGTTGATAACTTCCTCCACATTTCCTCATCCTTCCTAAATAGTTGTACCAACTGGGTACCAAGTATTCAAATATAGGAGCCAGTGGTAGATAATCTCTTTTAACCACTGCAGCAACTAATCACAGGAAAAACTACTCAGAGAGGAAAATTTAAAATATATGCTAGAAGGCTGAGGCGTATCTGTGAATTGCACTTACAGTTATAAAAATGTGAACTTAGAATTACAGTATCGGAGAGTTGGGAGGAAGTATATGTTTATAATGTCAAAAAGGAAAAAAATCCTCAGGGTTGAAAGATAGCTCAGCAATTATCTCAGTTAGGATTTCCATTGCTGTGATTAAAAAGTTGACCAAAAGCAACTTGGAGAGGAAAGGATTTATTTCAGCTTATAGTTCTACATCACAGTCCATCACCAAGGGAAATCAAAGTAGGAACCTGGAGGCAGGAACTGAAGCAGAGGCGAAAGAAGATGCTGCTTCCTAGCTTGTTCCTCATGTAAGAAAGCTCGGCCTGCTTTCTTACATACCCCAGGACCACCTGCCCAAGGGTGGCGTCGGCTGGGCCATCCCACATCAGTCACTAGTTAAGAAAATACCCCTGTAGGCTTACATACAGACCAGTCTTATAGAGGCATTTCCTCAATTATGCTTCTCTCTTCTTCATAGCTCCTGTCTAGTTGACCAAAAAACAAAAACTGAAACCAGCCAGGAAAGTGATTAAGACCATTGCCTGCTCTTCCAGAGGATCCAGGTTCAATACCCAGCTTTGATTGGTGGCTTACAACCACCTGTAACTGAAGTTCCAGGGGATTTTATTTCCTCTTGGCCTCTGAGGGCACTTCACTTGTGTGGTGCACATATATGCAAGCAGCCAGAACACCCATACACATAAAACTAAGTTAAAGTTTTAAAAATGCTCCTGTCCCCCAAAAACAATTAGATTCGCTCAGTCGAATTAAGTAAAAGATGCCTAAAAATGTAGCCACTTTTGAGAGCTGAAGAGGCTGATTTAAATTCATTGGGATAGTCAGTAAATTATAACTATCTATGAGCTCTATCTGAAAATGAAAGAATCAAAAGTAACAAAAGATGTTCACAGCACCAGAGTGTCACTGAAAGAAAACGGGCAATGGAGTCAGAGAACAGAAGACTTCTGGTTTTGTAGTATGTTTCCTAAAACCACTTAACTGTATAAACTTCATGCTTGTGTGTACATGGGAAAAAACTAAATTGTAAAATAAAAGCATGAAAATAAGGACATTGATACCACAATTGTTTTCCTGGGGAAAGGAGAGAGGGAAAAAAAAGGTCAGAGAAGTTTTTGTTTATTTGTTTGTTTTTTTGTTTGTTTTTTAGTGATCTTTTTAAGCTATGAAGCACTGATTAATGAACTGTGCTAATATTGATCAGTGACAACATTTGGAAAGAAAAGCCTGTGGTGGGTGACAGCAGCTGGGATTCAGAAAGACAATAGTGTAATGCCATTAATAACACACTGCGCAGTTTATTTTTAAAACAGAATCCTTTTCATGTGAAGGATTCTCTTCCAAAGATGGACTGCCAGACATGGAGATCATCTCTAATTGTGTGCATTGCTGTGTGCTGGAGTAGGAGTTGTTTCTGTATTTACCACATTAAAATTGTTCATAGACTTTTTTTTTTTTTTTTTTTTTTTTGGTGTAATGCTGTCTGCCCATTCCCTGGTAAGCTTGCATTTAAAGCTGATTTTAAAGTAGTGTTCACACACCAGTACTTGTGCCCTCAGTACCCTGCCATCATGAAATAGTAATATGATATACGATCACCTGCTAAATCTGTGACCTGGAGTTTAAGGGGCTCATGTAAAGGAACATTTAATTCCTAGCTTTAACTTGATCCTTCTGTATTTTGGTGAACTGTGCGTTTAAGTAATTGCAACTGATCCCTTTAAAGACACATTGCCTATCATTCTAGTTTGTTAATGTCAATACCCTATAAAAATAAATAAGCATTGTTCTATATGAGTATACTGCATACTTGTAGTTTTTCTTAAACTTGTGTAGGGAAATGGTATGGTGTCTGAAATGGAGCCCTTCTGGTGAGCAGGTGTGAATATAGATTGTCATTAGAAGCCTGGGTTACTGGATGTTTGGTGTGTTTATTACCACAATATTTTGTTACTTTGATACTCTTCTTTAGTCTGACTCATTTTATTCTCTTCATCTTTCTCTTAAATAAAATGTCTCTCGGTTGGCTGGAAAAGTACAATAAAAGAGTGTGAGCTGCCCTGTGAGCAAGTGTAGTCTAAGTTGAGTGTGTGACTATGAATGTAGTCATAGGCTGCAGAGATTTTTTTGAAATTATTGTTGATGGTGGTAGAAGAGACCAGCTCATTATTAAGTCTCTAGGCCATTTTTAATTCATTCATTTTCTATGTGTCTGCTTCTCAGACTTGAGTAGTCACAGCAGTCAGTGAGGCTCTCGTGAAGATGTGGCTCGCAGATGATGGACGCTTCAGCCTTGGGCCATGAGTTCAGTAACAAATCTTGACCCCGGCTTCCCTCTGTAATTCTCACAGACACACTTGATTGCTTCTTGTATAGGTAATGCCACTGAGCAATGTACACTGAATATTAAAAATGACATTTCTGTTACTTTAGAGAAATACACTAATTATGAATTTGAATTTTTCCCTATTCCTTTTACAAGAAAAAAGCCTAAAATATTCCCCATCCAAAGATAATTTGCTTGAAAATTATGCATAGTATCCTACAGTATTGTCAAGAGTACTTTGTATAAGTGTTTTAGAACATGAATAACCATTTCTTTTTTCTTTTCTTCCAAGGAGAAGTACAAATGTCTACCACAAGACGAAAACGTAATATGTTATGTTGTTTACCGTAAGCTGTAGTACAATGAGCTCAATTGTTGACAGGTATGTTTTAAAGTCACTATTAGAATAATGCTCTATATCAGCTTGATAGGCGTGTTATGCTTAAACATGATGGCTGGTGTATTCAATTTCTACATAGAACAAATAAATAACAAGTGATGAACATTAGTAGTTTTAAAAGCCAAAAGTGACTATCTTAGAGTTTATGTTACAAATGAGTATTTATTCGTAATTTTGGGAGTTTTAGTCAACTGTTCTGAAAAAACAATAATGTTTATGAATGATTCTCTGGCCCCTTTTAGACTCTTGGGTGGAGTCTATTGGTGCTACCTCTATCTCTGCAAGCATCTTAGCCCTTGTGACTGATAATTCATAAATGTAATTAGGATCGTTAGTTCATTAGTTAGTTTTTAATCTTTACATATGAGTCTTGGGGAAAAGATAAACTTCCTTATTTATTTCTTTGACTGTAAAAACCTTTCTTTTTCTTTTTTTTTTTTTTTTTTGGAGGGGGGTGCTGGGAATGACAACCAAAGCCTATTAATGTATACTAGTCAAGTGCTATACCTCTGGACTTCCTCTCCGGCCTTGTTTCTTAAGGTTGTATTGTTATAGTTGCTGTTTTCATTTTAACACCTCTAACATTTCATGGGTGTTAAAATTTACTTCTCAGGCTTTATTTGGTAGCTTCCTTCCTTCCTTCCTTCCTCCCTACCTCCCTCTCTTCTTCCTTTCTTGTAAATCTTACGGTTAATAGTGTCTAGAGCTGGTGAACAGAATCTTTTATATTATTTCATTGAATTGCTTAGATCCTCAGGGTTTTATAGATATAAGTCAGAAATTAACCAGCTTGTTTAATTATGGCTACATATAATTCACTGTATGATGACTCCAGTTCTTTAAGAATTTTGCAAATACAGTTGTACACAGAGTGGCTGTTGATATCTGAAGGCAGCTTTTCTTCTTTTTTGAACTAAAAAACAAAGATACTTCTTGTATTAGAGCATAAGACTTAAGGACAAGCAATGTCCTTACTAGAGAGGTTTACCTTCACTATGGCCATAGCTTTGGATTATAGGAGTAGTCTCCTTGAAAAGACGTGCCAGTCATTTAAAGGATTGCAGATGAGTGGTTGTCCAATTCTTTTTCTGTTCCTTAGGACATTTGGGATGACATCTGTGTATTCAGAGATAAAGCAGTGATTACTACTATGGATTCCGTATATCTGAATATTGTAAAATTTGTAGACTTCCTCATCAGAAAATGTATATATATGTAGGAGTTTTAAAACAAGTTTCTAGGCATAAGTGGACACCTTCAAGTGTATTCATGAGCCTCCATAAAGCACAGTTTACAGCTGATCTAAAGTGAGGCTAATGGACACCTCAAAGGCTGTTAGTCTTCACAGGCACAGCAGGATTTCACTGGATGGTGTGACTGGTGAATTCATGTCAAAGCTTCACCAACCACTAGAAATGATATCACTCCTTAGTTTTAAGAGTCAGCTTCTAGTGCTCTTGACGTAATTTGTTAGACTTTGCCCCAGATCTTAAGTGGTCCCCATGTTGTTACTTAAATCCTTACTCAATGTACACCAGTTCTACAAGTACTTCCCTAACCACCCAGGATTTTCTATTGCCATGACAAATCACCAAGACAGCTTATAAGCATTTAATTTGGGACTCATGGTTCCAGAGGGTAGTAGAGACGATGACTAGCATAGCAGGGAACATGACAGTAGGTGGGCAGGCATCTCACTGGAACACTAGCTGAAAGATTCCATGTTAAAATAACAACCATGGGGCCTGGAGGGAGAGAAAGAATGAGAGTGACCTAACTAGGAGTGGCATGGGCTTTTGAAAGCTCAGCGCCCACCCCCCAGGGACACATGTCATCTAAAATGGCCACACCTCCTAATCTTCACCAAACAATTCTACCATCTGAAGACAAAGCATTGAAATATGTGAGCTATTGGGGGTCAGTCTTATTCAAACCACCATACCATAGCTCCTTAAAAAAAATTAGAATTGTTGGCAGACATTTCATGTGGTTTTCTTTCTACTGGAAGAGAGTAGCTGTTAGTCCTGATAACTGTTCTATAACATCCAGGATACAACTGAGTACTAATCTGTTAAATGGGTCAAAAATAGTAAGTTCATGAGTTAGTTATCGTGACATTTATGAATAGTGATGTTTTTAAAGTGACTATCTCAAAAGATTTTTAAGTTATATTATAGTTAATATGATTCCAGGTGGGTAGTTTAATACTAACATAATTTCATACCAGCATTTGATAGGTTTTCAGTAGGTATTAACATTTTGAAATAAGATATTTTAAACTAGATGAATTCTTGTTTAGCCTGATGCATACATAAAGCTTAGTATATATAGCTGTTCTTGAAATTCACATGTGAAAAACTTAAATGTAGCTAAACTTCATTAGAGAATAAGTTAGTGGTTCCTGAGCTTCTGTGTGCTTGATCGCATCACCTAGGAAACAGGTCAGTGTGAGTGCGTTTACCTGTGCTTTGATGGTGCCGCTTACTGTGTTGTTCTTGCTCAGCTTTTCACTTTGTTCTCTTGTAGAGATGACAGTAGTATTTTTGATGGATTGGTGGAAGAAGATGACAAGGACAAAGCAAAAAGGTAGTGAGTTATGAAATAGAAAATAGTAAATAAATGTATAATACCTACATGTATTAGTAAAGTAGAAAAGCTTAGACTATCAGTATGCAGTTTATAAATCAAATTGTTTCCTTACCTTCTGAAAAGTAAGCTTAATATAGTATGTTATGTCCTAATTGAACACAGTATATATTATACTATTTGTGTAATTAGATCAGTTGCTTAAAAGCTACATATTTGATTTCTTTTTTTCATAGAGTATCTAGAAACAAATCTGAAAAGAAACGTAGAGATCAATTCAATGTTCTCATTAAAGAGCTGGGATCTATGCTTCCTGGTAACGCTAGAAAAATGGACAAGTCCACTGTTCTGCAGAAGAGCATTGACTTTTTACGCAAACATAAAGGTAAACTACTGACTATGTAAAATGGGCATGGTTTTTATAGCAAACTCTCCCTTAGAACATGAGTTATGATGTTTAAGATTGAAAAAAAAGATTCTTAGTATGTTCTTTTTCATTCAACAAGCATTTAGTGGTTTCTATATTCTAGATCCTTTTGAAATTATGACGATTTTCTTGGCTGCCAACTTAAGCCAGGGAAGACAAATGTGTAAACACATAATTAAAATTCAGATGAATAGTTTTTGTAAACTGTAAGCTTGGGAAGCACATTTTGTCATAATTTTTTTAATCATAAAGGAAAGAATGTTTTAAGGTGTACAAAAGGTAATTTTAAAAATTAAGTGTTAGGTTAAGTAAGTGAACATGCTTTCCACAGAGGAGATACTGCGTGTAAAAGTGGAAAAGCAGGGAGGTTTGATTGTCACTGAGCATGTTTGTGCTGGAAGGCTGTAAGCGTGCCTGAGGGTAGAGTCACGTAAGACTGTTCCAGGCCAGTTTAAAAGGTCATTTCACTGTATGTCTAGGAAATAAAACACTACACTTAAAAATATTTGTTAACAGAAGAAAATCACCTTGACTAAATCAGTTATGGAAAAAAAACCTTTTAAAGTGTTTGATATTTAGGTAGTGGAGATACTAAACTGTAAAAACTAGAAAAGGTTGTTTGCCTTTTCAGGTGAAGTAAAACTGTAGAACTTCTTAGGAAACAGATGCTGACTACTACCTGTGTACCATTTTCTTTACCACCCTTTGTAATTCATTGCCAGATTGGTTTGTGTACCACTACTCTCTGAAATGTTTTCATTACTGACGTTACCACCCTCCCCAGCACAGCAAAAGTCTTTTCTTCCTCTTTAATCTCTGTAGAGTTAGAACTGGTGATCTCGGTCTGCCTGCTACTGACTCTCTTCTCCCATGGCTTCCACATTCTGCTGCTGCTTCCCCTTCCTGTCTGGCCCTCTCTCCTCTTCCCTTCTCTGCTCTCTAAATTTGATGTTTCTCAAGGCTTGTCCTTGTGATCTTATTTTCTCAACCCTCTTTTCTGTGGATAACTCATGGAACTGAAGCTGCTGTGCATCTGTACTACTACTAATGAATCTTTGTTTTCAGATGCAGAATTTTCATCCTTGCATTCTAGCTGACTTACAGATCCCACTTTCCATGTCTCCAAACTCAGTTTCTCTAAAAGGGAATTCATTTTCATTTTGTCAGGTCAGTTGCTCCTAAACTGACTTTTTCCATTTTTATACCATTTGATTAGGCTTCCAGGGCTCAAACATATTTTTATTTATCTTAGCACCATGTTACACATGGCGCATTCTCTTCTGAGTCTTTTGTAAATGTGTCAGTTACTTAACATTGAGAATCTTTGTAAATAGTATCCTTGCTTACTGAGCTCCCTTTGTATACATGGCACACTAAATCAGTCCCTTAAACATTATAGCACTCAGTAAATGATTGTTGAATGAAATCAAGGGAAGTGAATATATTTCCACCACCTGACAATAGAACATTAATTTTGGCATTAATTAGATTTTTCCCCAAAACTAAATTTACAATTCTCACAAAAATGAAACTTGTGGTAAATTTCAGGGAAATTTTTAAAGTATTTATTCATCTAACATAGACCTGTATTAACTAAACTTTATTAAATTTGTATATATAATTGTGTATGTGATTGACAACCATTTAAAAAGCATGACTGTATTTCACAGAATTCGTAGTTATACTTTTTAGTTACCTGTCATAGTTCAGTGTCATTTGTAATAGTCAAATTTGGTATGTAAATATATATTTAAATATCTGGTAACAAAATATTAAAATACTATAATCCATACTTTTCACAATAAAGTAAGGTAGTGTACAGCCTATCATGTTGATTTAATCTGTGTGGTTGTTGCAGTATGTCTACATTTAAAATGGAAAAAAATGTTGAGGTGTAGCCTTTGGAAGCCAAGGCAGGAGGGTCATAAGTTTGAAACCTGCCTGAAATATAGTAATACCTTGTTTAAAAAGAAAAGGAAACATTTGTTAAACAGCAAATAGCTCAGATTTCATTATTTATGGTAGCATTCATATAATTAAATCTATTTGCTGTAGCAAAATGAAGGAGTAATGTGGTGAAATGTGTGCCATACCTGAGACCCCAGAGGTTTGCCAAGCCCCATGACATTAGGAACATTAAGAAGACACTGAACATTCCCCCTGTAAGCAATGTTACTGTGTAATTCTGGCCCCAAATCCTCATTTAGTCTTTTAAGATAAGGATGAATCTTTTTGCCTAGCAAAAATAGGTTCTTTTTGTTAAAAACAGACTGGCTGACAGACCCCATTGGCGCCTTCTTTGTGCTGATTTCTTATCTCCACTTGAGACAGTACCATTTGAATGGCAAGGAAAAGATTAGCTGAAAAATGTCTTCAAAATGTTTGCAATAATCTTGTTGTACTCTGCTTGTTTTTATTTGCTAATTATGTCAAATTGGAAATAGGCTTAGAGCAGATCTAGGCCGTATAATCTTTCCCCAGTAAAAACCCCAAAGAAATTGATACTAAATTATTCAAACCAAGTTCTAGAAGATAGCATTTCACATTTTCAAACCCTGGTCTCCTGTTAGGTAGATCAATAAATATTGCCTGTTCTTATCATTGAGTAGGAAGAGAAGGCGACTTGTAGGTTTTTGTGCTCTCCTAGTGGTTAGAGTATGCTGCTAATGTGTCAATCTGTTTACAGAAATCACTGCACAGTCAGATGCTAGTGAAATTCGACAGGACTGGAAACCTACATTCCTTAGTAATGAAGAGTTTACACAATTAATGTTAGAGGTATGTCCAGATTTGATTTTTGAAATTTTTATTTTTCTAAAATTTTAACAATGATTAATTTTAGTATAGTTTTAGCAGTATTAACATTGAAAAGTCTTCTTTCAGTGTCAATGTAATAAGCTCTGTTTGTGTATAATTATTATTGATCATTGTATTGATCAAGTATTGTAAGAAGATAATGCCATGTAGTAGAGTAATACCAAGTTCTCCTATTTTCGTCATTTGAAATTTTGAGGTGCTTTCATACAATTCAGAAAGCTATAGCTACTGAGTCTTCAACCTGAGACTGTCCACTACGTTCTAAGAAAGCATAGATGTGTTACCACATCAAACACTGTTATCGCTTGTGTTTGTTTTATGCCAGCTGAACTCCTGTGCCATAATGGCATGGATTGCAGAGTTTGAACAGCAGAAGTTTGTTTTCCGTACTCCTGGAGGCAGGCAGTCCAGGAAGGAGGCCCTAGTGGGCTTGCTATTTGGTGAGAGCTCTTCAGTCTAGTTGATGACACGATGTGCAGGAGCTCTCAAGGATTCTTTTATGGGGACACTAATTTCATTTTGGGGGCTTCATCTTTGTCACCTAATCACCTCCTAGCCACCTCCTCCCTAATACAACAAAATGAAAAGTGGGATTTCAACAGAAATTTTGTAGGACATGGTATTTAGTTCTATTAAACATCTACCTAAAATGACTGCAAATGGTAATAAATGGTGTATTTTTTCAAATAAATTTGTGTCAAAAGGTAATCATTCTGTTAAGTGGAAACTTTTAAATGGAAGTGAGCAGGTGTTCCTCTATTACAGAATTGCTTTTAAAAATAATTTAGAACAGCTTTGGCTTGTATGTAGAACATAACATCTCCCAGTCAGGTATGTAACACATATACATTTTGGAACATTTATACCTCATAGTTTTTACTTTTCCTACTCTTTTATCTTTTCCTGCATGGAATAATGAAGTCATCATTTTTGCACAGAAACTAGTCAAAATTTAGTTATCAAGTTTCGTGAAAACTTAAAATAGCAGATGGGTGGTTTACTTTGTAGAACAGTGATAAGAAAAAGCATAAAAGTACTAACCTCAGTACTCAAGAGGGTATGGCAGAGTGATTGGGGTGGATCATGGGGTGTTGTGGCTAGCCTGGGCAGCATGTGCAAAAATCATAGATGTAAGAAGTGAAATTGTTAGGTAAAGAAGTTAAAGAGGTTATCTGTGTCATGGATGTTTCTAGGGTCTGAAGCAAGGTAGAACATTTTTCAGTAAGAGGGCTTTTTGTATTTTTTGATTATGCTTTGGGGTGTAACAGTTAGTGAATTCTATCTGTATATTTACCAGAAATTATTAAAATTTGTTAGAGTGTAAGTATAACATAAGCATTTAGACCTATTACTTTAAAACTAAAGGGTGCTTTTCTCCTGTTAAGTCATCCAGTTCCCAGACCCACTTTAAGAAGGTATTTACATGGGAACAGGGCCTGTCTCTGACTACTTTCCATGGTTTCTGGCACCCTACTTCTCATACAGGGTTGCCTTACTTAGTTCAAGTCTTACTGCAACTTGGTATGCCATGTTTTATTGAGGAGACCTGCCCTTTCCTGGATGGAGACAGGAGGAGGAGATTTTTTTTTTTTTGGTGGGGGAGTGGTAAGAGAGGGGCTGGGAGGGAAGGATGGTGGGGGGAGGCTGCGACTAGGGTGTAAATAAATGGATAAGGAAGTTCAGGAGCAGAGTTGTTGGGAAACTTGCCCACATCCTAGCTAGACAGTACGTCTCCTGCAATGTGCGAGGAAGCCCTGCCCTCAGTTACCCTTGTGTGAAGACTGTCTGAAACGAGCAGTTAGCTCAGTAAGTTAATGTACAGTTGACATACAACTCAGAACAGTCATAACTTGTGTTTTTCCTCTTAAAAGAGGTTTCACATTGGATGTATCTCTTTAAATTTATGTTTGTGAGAAGATACACACAATCCAGTCTCTGTAACAAAGAAAATGACTCATCCTTATTTTATAATCCCAGTGCAGTTTTTCATTCAGTAAGATTTTCTGTGTTCGTTATAAACTGCTTACTTTTATTGATGTGAAATGTTTCTTATAATTCAAAAGTTATGTATTTTATTGATAATCTTAATGTACCTGCTTTACTAATAGGCTAAACAGAAAAGTTTTACTTCAGTTGTTTTCTTCATAATAGGAAGCTTTTATAAATAAACTAAAAATTCTAGTGATAAGACATAAGAACTGAAAATATATTAAAAACTTGAAAATGTAAATTCTTTGTGATTGTCCTCAGATTTTAGATTCACATAACTGAACAATGTTTATTTTAATATGTAAAGAGTACATTTATTTATTTATATGTCTGTGGTTACATTTTTGCCCCACACATTTGGAGGGCAGAGGACAACTTGTGGGAGTTGGTTCTCTCCTTTTACTGGGTGGATTATAAAGATTAGACTCAAGTTGCCAGACCTGACAGTAAGCACTTGTACCCACTGAACTATATTGGTAGCTCAAATATGTTAAAGTTTCTGTATGTACCAAGTAAATGTATTTTTTAAAAGTAATGGGCCAAGGTAAAGGGTATGTATACAGGTGTGTATCTTATATCCTTAATCCAGATGTTTGCACACGTGATTTTACATGCTTCATGTCTTCAGTTTTCTGATTGAATATGAAAATTTTAACCATAACTTAGAATTGGATTTGTTCATAAAATAGTCTGGTTTTGTTTGGGTAAAGTTTATTTGACTGACAAGACTGTGATTGTAATTGTGTTACTCTTAGGTAATCATGTTTATTAGATTGTAGCTGAGTCCTGTCTGCTTTCAGCTGAATTTCAGATGCAGACTATCTTAAGATGTTAGTGTTGCTGGTACAGGAGCTTAGTCTATCCACTTAACATGTTAGCATTGCTGATACAGGAGCTTAGACCATCTAGTTATCATGTTGGTGTTGCTGATACAGGAGTTTAGACCTTCTGCTTAACATGTTAGCATTGCTGATACAGGAGTTCAGACCATCTACTTAGGATGTTGGTGTTGCTGGTACAGGAGCTTTAGATCATTTAGTTGAGCTTGTTCATTACTGACTGCCTAGAGAAGTTGAAGCTTTTTACCCCACAAAAGCTAACTAATGGCAAAATGCCTGTCTCCATTCTTTGAATAAACCTGCCTCCCCTCCCCCATCTATTGCCTGAGTAATTTACTGCAGGACTGGGAGTAGGCATGACAGGACAAAGTCATCTTGTTAAGATCATCTCTGGTTATATGCTGTTTTCCTCTCAGCAGCTCATAGTCTTCCTTATAGTCTACAAGACAAGGGCTCACAATCTGTGTCAGCCTTATCTTTGCTGAAGATCCACAAGGAATTTCTGTCCCCTTCTCTAGAACTGACATTTTAATCTTGCACAAACTAAATAATCACTGTTACCAAGGAGATACCAGTTGAAAGGCCGGGTGTTGTAAGTAGTGATCAGTTTTCCTTTATTCGTATGGTAAGAGGACAGGGATAATTCACAGTTGGCCATCATGACATGGGGATGTTCTCTGCCTTATTCTTCCACATTTCTCTAATTACCCTTTTCAAAGAAATTTTATTCCTCTAGTCAGAAGGTTTTCATGACTTGGCAAACTGTTGAAACGTTTCTCTGCAAGAGAAAAGAGCAGGCTTTATCTCTAGGAGTGGGGCTAAATGATTAAGCATCCTTATTTCAGTTCATTCTCTTCAGAGAGAAGCGTGCGGTTCCTAGGAGTGTCTTCACAGCATGAACTCCTCACCATCACAGTGAAAGATTACTTTTTTTCAACCCTGACAGTATTTTCACATGAGAAAGCATAGGTTTGTTTCTTTACACCAATTTGACTATTCAAATAATTACTGATTAAATCATAATGGGGGATACTGCAAGAGTTACTGTAAATTAAAGATTTCAAATGTCCTCATTATCTAAAAATACATTTGTTTGAACTGTTCTAGGAAGTAAGAAACTATTCAAAATGAGTTTTCTCAGAGACCCATATCTCTCCCCTAGTAGGAGAGAGGTGGGGAAGGGTACCCTTTTCTGTCCCTTCAACAGAGACTGGGATAGTAGGGCACTTGTCTAGGCCCTGCATTCATTTCCTAGCACTGCAAACAGCAGTCATAATAATAAATTGGACATGGTGGCTTACCTGAGTTCAAGACCAGTGTGAGTTATGGAAGCTGTCTCCAGACACCCCTACCCCCAACATACACACCCCAAAATAACAAAAATAAAGCCCATCTAATAGCGGTTTCCTTCACTCCTAATCTCATCCTTTATGTATTATCATACTTTTCACTTGTACCAAGTATTTCTTCTGTACCCAGACACAAGAATTACCAAAACATTCCTACCAGAGCTAGTGACCCTTTGAGAGAGCTATTTAACTAAATAACATTCAACTTCCCCGCTAGTGATCTTTCTCTCCTTTAACTTATAAATGTACTTCTCACTGTTTGCTTTATTTTGGTTTTCAGTGTGTTCCTTTTGTACATGAGCCCTTTAAATAATTCTCCTTCCTCCCTTATTTTCTTGCCAGGTTTATGTATGAGTTATGGTAGCCTCTTGTCAACTTGTTCTAAATTTGTTATGACTGACTTGCCTTCCTGTTGATGTTGCTCTTTGAAAATACTAAATATGCTTATTTTCTTGTTCTTTGATCTATCTGATATCACTGTACCATCCCTTTTTCCTTGTCAAGCTCTTTCCACACCGTATTCTGCCCCTACTGTTTCTCAGGCTCTTTTCTTTCTCTTAAAACTCATATTGCAGTGATTCTTCCAAGCTTTATCTTTGGTCTGTTTCTTTATTAAAGGTCACTACTATTCCTGTGGTTATCAAATGAAAGCATGCTGAGTCTTGTATCTTCTCTAACATCTCCTGAAGATGTTTGTATTCTTAGCACTTGCTTAATCCTTCTCTTTCCCTATTGCTGCTAATTTCATTCAGTGTCATTAATTTCTCAATTATTCCAAGGCATGTTTTCATGATTCAATTCTCTGTTCATATATTTCTTCCAGACTACTAGTATTAAAACACAGCTTCCCACCCATACAAAGCCTCTGTTGGCTTCATTTTATGTGTAGAATAAAGATACCTTTACCAAGAGTTTGGGCTTTAAACGTTTGTGCCTCAGCTTAGTTGGGGGAGGCTTAATTTCTTCTTCTCCCTTTATCCTGTTTCTCCCATCTCCAGATAAGCTGTACTGAATGTACTACATAGTGTATCATGCAGTGTAGGTATTTATGCAGCTGTAAAGGCAAACATTGATTTCTTATCTGTAGAAACCAACTTGCAATAGATAGTCAAAGTGATATTTTTCCCTCAGAAACATCTAAAGATGCACAAAAATTAATATACTAAGGTACCAAAAGCAAAATAGCTCCCATTTTGACTGTACTGTAAAGATTCCACAATAAGTCCTTTGTCATTTTTCTTGTTTCTGTCCAGTAAAATGCGTTTTTCTTTTCCCTTAACTGACCATTATGTTTAATTTCAGGCTCTTGATGGTTTTTTTTTAGCGATCATGACAGATGGAAGTATAATATATGTATCTGAGAGTGTAACTTCGTTACTTGAACATTTACCAGTAAGTATGAAAACCCTATAATCTCTGTGTCCTTTAATGTCTAATGTCTACATTAAATAATAGAATGCACTAGAAAGTAGACCTTTCTAGAAATATTCGAACATCGCTCTGTTTTCTCCTCAATTCCCTTTGCTTGGTAATGCTAGCTTTGAAATGTTTTTCTTTTAGCCTGATGAAAATACTGTATCAAACAAACGAAAAACAAAAAATGAATAACTTCCAACCAAATTTCTACTGAGATACTTATTGCTATGAGAATACCTCATAAATAATTTTCTCAAAAGATAAAAATTTATAAAAATAGGTGCAGAACTTGTATGAATTGTGAGTTGGACTGGGTAATGTAATAATGACCATATTCCATTTTAAAATATGTCATCAAAAAGGTGAACTGGGCTGGAGATGTAGCTCAGTGATATTTGTTAGACCCTAACTAGGAGAGTGGGGCGATGGAGGAAGGACAGACACATAAACATGTATAGTGAATGTAGGATCGTGTGGGATTCTGCTACTTCTACCTCCATAACTCAGACCTCAGAGTGTTTATTAGGTGTACACAGTACAAGGAGAGCAGTTAGCTAGTCTTGATTGATCTCTGTGGTGGAGCCATCAGTCTCAGGCTGTAAACATCCAGGAGAAGGAGGCTGAAGTTGCTAGTCTTTGCAGACATGGATCCATCCTCAGACTCCAGGGAAAACTGCTATTCTTCTGAGCCTGACCCATAAGAGTAACAACAGATTTTCTATGTTTCCCATGGGCCAGTTGCTCATGGGGTTCTCTACAGACCATGCCCATGTCCAAATACACATTTCTGTAGGGTTTCACAAACTGAGGCCTTTCTCTGCTTCCTCAGCCATGAAGAAAAAAAAATAGTGAAAAATTAAGTTGAATAATTTTGATTGACATGGTGAATACCTTAATTGTGTGTTTGCTTTACTCAACCTGTGTTTATTGAACATTCATTCTGTATTGAACACTAGGTTAAGTGCTGCCTATAGTTAATGGTTTTGTAATTGTACTTGAAATTTTTATATAACATGTATGGGCTTGTGATATAAAAATTCTAATATTTTTAAATTACTCTTGAAATGCCCATTGGTTGAAAATTTACAACAATGCAATATAAACAATTCTGTAAATAATAACTTTTTAAAAAACAAAGAGCATTTCCTCCCCTTTGGTTCCTCTGCTACTTAATACCTTGTGCAGAGGAAGGACTCTACACTTACAGTTAGGGTAGTTGTATGATGCTAAAGCCAGCAATTTTTATCGCTTTATTCATAAGAATACTGGTTGGTTTTTAGAGCCACTCAGTAATTATTTATTGGGTGAATAAAAATGAATTAAGTAGTTGGCTATCATAATGACTCCTTTTAAAATGTTTCCTAGGACCCTGAGAAATGACTAATTAGTAAGAACACTTGCTGTTCTTGCAGAGGACCGGGGTTTAGTTTCCAGAATTTACATCAGGCAGCTCACAGTTCTAGGGGATCTGGCAGTGCACATACATAATGTTCATACTTATACTTAGTCACACACACATACCCATTAAAAGTGCACACACATGGTGTTCATACCAGTACTTAGACACGTTCACATACCCATTAAAAGTGCACACACAGTCTTCATACCTATACTTAGACATGTACACATACCCATTAAATAGTAAATGAAGGTTAAAAAAAAAAAACCACAAAACCTTCCTAATGGAAAAGAGGGCATCAGATTCCTATAACTGGAGTTATAGACAGTTGTGACCTGCTAGTTGGGTACTGGGAATTGAACCTGGGTCCTCTGAAAGAATAACTAGATAACTAGTACTCTTAATCCCTGAGCTAGCTCTGATCCACTGTTGGTTGATCTTTGGTGTGGGATAGTTTTTAAATGGACAATCTGACAAATCTAATTGATTCGGTGTTTGATTTTTAATAGTAAACCTCACTTTGTCATTCCCTCCTATGTTGTTTTATAAAAAATTTCTATTTTAGAATCATTTTTAGATTTACAGAGAAAGATAGAAGGAATTTCTTTCTCATGAAAATAATTGAGGGTATGAAAGACTCCCCTCAGTTATTTTCTTCCATTTGAGTTGTGCTTAGTAACTGAGTGGACATGATATATGTCCCCCAAGTGGACATAATACGGGTGACTTTTTTAATCTCAGAATATGACAACTTTAAGTATAGTGACTAATGGAGCATGAAGAATAGTGGCTAATGGCAAGTTTGGCACTGTGTGAAGTGGGAGGAGAAGCTGAGGGGGCATTTCTTGTGATTACACTCTTGGCACCTCACCTGTAGTCTTATCTTTGTGAGTAGGACACAGCTGACAAGTTTACACATAGAAAAATAGGGTAAAGTAAGTGGAATCATGATGTAATGAAATAGTACTAGAAAAGGTTGTTGGTTAAGAGTAAACAGAAAACTAATTTTTTATTTATTTATTTTTTGGTTTTTTGAGACAGGGTTTCTCTGTAGCTTTAGAGCCTGTCCTAGAATTCTCTCTATAGACTAGGCTGGCCTCAAACTCACAGAGATCTACTTACCTATGCCTCCCAAGTGCTGGGATTAAAGGCGTGCACTACCAAAACCCGACCAGAAAACTATTCTTAAAATTAACATTTTAGTTCCTATTCCAAACTCATTTTTTTAACAAGACTATTTTGTGCATTCTGATCAGTGCTTAAATTTTTATACTTTGTCAGTGAAAGACAGTTTTCTAGCATTTTGTTATTCATGACTGAAATTTGCATCATTCTTTTAGCATTAATGACTTTTTAGTCTTCCAGAAGAATTCTTCATTAAAATAAAAGATGTGGTTTTGTTGTGGTTACCCCTTAAGCTATTAAATGACTCCTTGGTGCCAAAACATTTTTGTTCTATTAACTGTTGTATGTAAGGCACAGAGTAGAATATGCTTTGATGAGCAAGGAAGAGGATAAAGGTGTAAAAGATAGGACCTTTTTATTCATCAGGGGGCATAGATACAAGTTCTAAAGGAATTTGTAGTTGTGGTTTGGGGTGTGCTGTTTTGAAGGAAGTGAATTTTTTTTAATTGTTTTAAATAAAAGTGCATCATTTCTGCCTTCCCTTCCCTCCCTTTAGTCCCTCTCATATCCCCGTTTACTTCATTTCAAATTGATGGCTTCTTTCTTTGATTATTGTTAAACACATGTACATATGCATATAAATATATAAATAAACTTTGGTGGTGCTTATGTATACCTGATTTTAGGGCTGAACATTTGGTGTTGAATTCCAGTTATTGGGCTCATTCCTGTAAAAGACCAATTCTCACTCTCCCAGTGAGTAGCCCGGGAGGTAGGGCTTTATGAGATTTCCTATCCATATCAGTATGTCTGTTGGTGTTATTGTGCAGATCTTGTCATTTCTAGGAGACACAATCTATCTCACAGCAGACTTCCTAGTACTCACTCTTAAAGTCTTTCTGCTCCTTCTGAGGTGATCCCTGAGCCTTGGATGCAGAGCTTGTGTTGTAGATGTATCCATTGGGGTTGGGCAGTCCACAGTGAATTGTTCTCTCTGCTGCTACAAAGAGACACTTTTTGAGTGGGAGATGAGAGCTACACTTATTTGTGTGAATAAGGATAACTTCAGATGTGATCGTTATAGGTATATAAAATGTAAACAAAATGAAAGCACAGCTGCGTTGGCACCACAGCTCCCTCTACCTCCCCTGCCTTTCACAGGTCCTTGAGCTATCTCTGCCTTGTTTCTAGAATTAGAAAGGTTTAAAAAGTGAGAAATCCAATAGGATGGGCTAGACTCACTCAGTAGAAGGTGAAGTTGCTGAGGTTTCACTGTCATTGTACTTAACGATAGGAGCTATCATATTCATCTTTGAGTCCACAACATCACCTGTTGTAGGTTTCCTAACATTTGTCAGACTACTGTTATTAGATAAAGACTAAAGGTACATATTAGCAAGCAAGAAGAATTAGAATGTTTTACATGCTGGCTGTCCCATTTTACGCAAGGCTTTCAGCAATGTGATCTAGAGTAAATGCCTGAAAAAGATGAAATAAAATTAAAGGACATGTTGAACTATTGCAATGATAGTAATGTCAAATCTCTTTATTTAGCTTGTCACTGTTTCTGAGTATTCATGTATAACACCACTGTTTAGCAGGTGTTTGATTAAATAACAAGGCTGTGTCTTAGAGCCAATTATTTTCTTAACTTCTCAGACCCATTGTATTTTATAATACAGTGTTTTACAATACAAGATTTTCAAACAGTGTATCTGGTTTTAGGATCACATCAATTATGGATCTGATGACTCTGGTATGTTAGCCTTTTGTAGCTTCTCAATTTCATTTTCTAATATGGAGTTTGTAGCTTGACATTGTTGGTTTTCATGGATAATCGAATATTAATTATATGTACCTATGTTACTTGATATCTTTTAAATGTGTTAGATACAAGTTCCTCTCAAAGTATTATTATATAATTTTAAATTTTTTTTTATTTTTCAGTCTGATCTTGTGGATCAAAGTATATTTAATTTTATCCCCGAGGGAGAACATTCAGAGGTTTATAAGATACTCTCTACTCATCTGCTGGAAAGTGACTCATTAACCCCTGAGTACTTAAAATGTGAGTAGGCCCTCCTAAGCAGACACTTGGCAGCATTATTGTTTACTTCTGTAAGTTTATGAAAGACACAATGTTTAACTAAATTAGAATAGCACTATTCATTGAACTCTATTAAGTGCTTTTAAAATATTGGTGTATATACGCAGCTAAAAGGATTGTGTTCATTTTAAGATACCAGATCTGTTCCATTGTATATTGAAGTCTCATCTTTTTTGTTATAAGAAATTGATCACGATTATGTACAAACTATAGTGTATAAAAAGATGGGAATCAGCCATGTTTTTAATTTTTAAATGAAATCTTAAAAGTATTTAATAAAATAGTCTTTATTGGGTGTGTTTAATATAATATTTTAAAGTGCCAAATATAGTGAAAAATAGTCCCAGCTACCAAGTAGCACAAAGTATTTTGACATAGTGAGGCATTTCTGTGGATTGCTTGAGCAAGCAGATGACTGCAGCTTTCACTGCCGTCATTCTTGGTGTGGTGGTTACCTTCGCACGTCACTCCCTATAGTAGACGCTGATAAGGGACTCGTTTATCTGGGCTTGTGGTTTAGAGATGTCTTAGCATGCTGGGGAGGACATGGTGGAGCACAGCTGTTCACAGCATGGCAGCTGGGAAATGAAGGAAGGAAGGAAGGAAGGAAGGAAGGAAGGAAGGAAGGAAGGAAGGAAGGAAGGGCGGGAGGGCTTACGGACATACCTGCCATGGCATGCTTCCTCCAGGCTTCCTTCCTCCTACAGTCTCTAGATCCTTCTCGGTAGCACTACCAGCTGCGAGCCCGTTATGCAGACAGCTAATGTACAAACCATGAGAGTTGCCCTGAGTAAAGTTAGGAATGTGGGTCTGAGAATGTAACAGTGGTGAAGTGCTTGCCTATTTATGCACATGACCCTGAGCTTAGTTCCCAAGTTTGTGTGTGTCTGCGTGTCTACATTTAGTACATTATTGTATTCTATTAGCTAGTAGAACCCTTCCTTACTCCTTTTTTATTACTTTTAAATTTTATCTTATCTGGTAATAGTGATATTAATCAACTTATGTATATCAATGTATGTATATCAAAGTTAAGAATGGATTGTCTTTGAAAAGGAATTATAAAAAGATAGAAGTAGAAATTTACTATATGTTATTGTTTATAGTCATTTTTGCATTACACTGGTTGTTAGACCATTTTAATATGGTACTTAGAAGAAACATTTAGTTTGGACTTAATATAGAAATTAATTATATGGCTTCAAGCAGTATTTGAAGTCACAAAATGAGAGGTGTTACTTGAGGCAAATGCATACAGAAAGGAGAGAAGTAGAAAGTTGATACTCTGAGGTGCCAAGAGGACAGTGAGAAGGAGCCAGTTCCAGGGACCCTCGGAAGAGAGGGCTGCTCAGAAAAGTGCATAGGAAGCTTCTGCCAAGATAGAGCTTGTGCCCTCAAGATCAGAGAAGTCTTAACTCAGTGTCTTGCTGAGGGCCTTCTAGTGAGGTGATATACAAGCAGAGTTCTTTTCCCCAGAAAGAGTTAATGAGTAAAATATGGGGTACTTTGCTTAGAAAATTTAGTAGGCGATTTTAGCTGTAATGACTATGAGTTGGTACAAATGATGTGATGTTTGTAAAAATGAAGCAAAATTGTAAAGAACATAGTAATTTCATGCTGTGAAGCTTTTTATTCTTTATACAATAGTGAGCTAGTGAAGGCCTTTGGGTGGTTTGTAGTTGGAGGGATAGTGAATTTTGCAAAGGATCATGCTAGGGACAGAAAAGGTAAAGTGTATAATTAGAAGTAAGGATGGAGAAAAACATGATTGATAAGTTTGTAGATTCACCTCAACTAAATTTGGGAAGGCTTTGAAAAGGTAGTGATAATTAGAATTTGAACCTGTTGAGTCAGGTGATAGAGGCAGATGCAGAAGAGAGCGTGTAAGTGTGATGCAGTGGGCAGAGGAAGAAGTCACATGCTCACTATATGAGACTGTCTTCCATAAAGTGAGGAGCTGGTCAGAAAGATACTGGAGCTAAGAGCCTCCTGCGATTGATCGGTGACTGTAGAAAGGGTTATAAAAGGTCATGTCTAAAAGTCTTTGTGAAAGTATCTAGTGCCGGCCAGTTAGCAGAGGTCAGTAATATAGGAAGGCAGGTTCATGCTGTGGGAATGAGGAAGAACAAGTTTTAGATGAACTGGGAAGAATGAGAAAAACCACTTGAGATTGACAATACAAATGCCAGTAATATTTGGGAGAGTCATCGCTGTGGAAGTGTGAGGAAGTTAAATGAATACACAGAAACCAGAATGCGTTTGGATGAGTTCTTTTTTGCTGTAAATAGATTAGCATGAAAGACACTTTGTTGAAAAGATGGAAGACATGATCAGATTTAAAATTGTAGGAAATAAAGAACCAAAGAATATTTGCAGTTGCTAAAGGGGTGAATACCAAGTGCCACGGTTTTGGCTCTAAAGGAGACGAGAAAGATTATTGGAGGTAGAGATGGGAACAGTTAGCCTGTAATTTTAGCACTTGGGAGCCTGAAGCAAAGGAATTACAAATTCCAGGCCAGACTATGTTACTGGGCAACTCTGCCAAAAAGCAACAGCAACAGAAAAGAAAAGGTGATGGCTTTAAATAAGGGGGGGGGCATTAGCTTTTAACAGAGAACAAAGTGTATTTGTGAAAAGAGGGAGGAGAGGAACAGGATGACAGATGAAAATAGAGAAAATAGCTGTTGGCTGTGCTGGCCACAGTCATCTCCTGCAGGTACTTTACTGTGATACATTAAAAATGACATGTAGCACTTGTGTTGGAGAAAATGATTGTGAACTTACTCAACTTTTTGTCACTTATTTCAGCAAAAAATCAGTTAGAATTCTGTTGTCACATGCTTCGAGGAACAATAGATCCAAAGGAGCTATCCACCTATGAATATGTGAGATTTATAGGAAATTTTAAATCTTTAAACAGTGGTAAGTTAAAATGCCTTTTTTTTACAATATATTTTAGCTGGCTGTTTTTATTTTTCTAAGCTCTTAGATGCTTAAGTGTCAGTAACAAGTATATGTTACCGAACTAATCAACATGTCTCCTTGCTTTTTTAGTATCAACTTCAGCACACAATGGTTTTGAAGGAACTATACAACGCACACATAGGCCTTCTTATGAAGATAGAGTTTGTTTCGTAGCTACTGTCAGGTTAGCTACACCTCAGTTCATCAAGGTATGTTTCTGATTTTAATTGCTCTAGTACATTCCACTTCATGATAGAAGGATTGTTCTTAGACTTTTGTTGTCTTCAGAAGGCTAATGTGGGAATAGCTAATGAGTTATTAAATATGCACAGACTTTGTATTTTAACACATTGAAGGATATAAGCATTCATTAACCGTAACTTTTTTAGTGTATTCTTTGCAGGTATACCATGGTAGTACATTACCATTGCTCTGCTTTTGTGTAGAATTTAGTCTGTAATTCACTATCATTCTTAAAGAAGAAAGTTTAAAAAAAAAAAGGATGTTGGTGGTACACTTTTAATCCTAGCACTTGGAAGGCAGAGGCTGGCGGATCTCTGAGTTGGAGGCCAGCCTGGTCTACAGAGTGAGTTCCATCCAGGACAGCCTCCAAAGCCACAGAGAAATACTGTCTCAAAAAACATAACAAAAAAAAAAAACCCTGTGGCTTTACTAGATATAATTTGCTATTTGAATTTTTTATTAATTTTAAAAAAGGTGTGTGGGTGTTTTGTCTGCATGTATGTTTGTGTGCCATGTGCATGCTTGGTGCCTTGGAGGGGGGGCAGAAAAAGGCATTGGATGTCCTGAAACTAGAGTTTTACAGATGTGAGTTACTATGTGAATCTAAAAATTGAACCAAAGCCCTCTGGGAGAGCAGCCAATGTTCTCAACTGCTGAACCGTCTTGCCAACGCCTGCTCTTTGAATTTTAAGTTGTTTGCTTTTATTTTGTGTATTCCATAAGGAAATATTTAGTAGGGAAGCAGAAAAGTGAATTACTTCAGTTATTGAAGACTGAAGAAGCCAGGGCAACATTAAAGTTCAGGTGACACCGTAGTACAAGACAAAGAACAGTTAGCAGCTAGGAGATCTTAAACTAGTTTTTGGTCTTAGGAAATTGAAGGGCAGTTGCATGCTTTATCTCATTTAATTTTTGCACCTGTGAGATAAATGCTATCATAATATTTTATATTTAAGGAAGCTAAGACTTAGGACATTGCTTGCCAAATGTCTCATATAAGTGGGACTTGATAGCAATTATTTTTCTTTCAAAGCCCTAGGTCCTGATTGTTAGAGTAGAGTGTGTTAAGAGAAGCTTTTTCTTTGCTAGCCGCTTTGGTTTATCCCCCACCAGTCACCTGGGCTCTGCCGCGCCAGCCTGGTTCTAGATCCGCATGAGTCCCAAATAAACACACAGGAGGCTATATTCATTATGAAGCTGTTGGCCTTGTTTGTCTCTTACTGGCTAGCTCTGCTTTAAGTAATTACCCCATAATTGTTAATCTAAGTATGTCTCTTACCGGAGAATAGTTCCAGGCTTCCTACCCCCAATGGCGTTACATGTTGACTCTCTTGTCTTTCTCCTTCCCAGAGTTCTCCTGGACTCCTAGTCCCTCCTATCTAGGTTTCCTATAGGCTCAACAGTACTTTATTGACAAATGCACAGGACTTCCCCCAACAAGAGTGTGTAAGGATGGAGAGGAAGGTTGTAATACATTGTTGCTTTGTACAACAGAATCTAGGTTCCATGTATATGAGGGGAGACTAGTCAGAGCGTATTTCAGAAAAGTAAGCAGATACCAGGCATGAAATTTGTTCTCTCTGTGGTTTTTCTCCTTGAAGAAATTTGAGCATAAGAAGCCATAGAAGAGTTTTAAGCAGGAAGTTGTATAATCATACTGAGTATTGGTAAGGTAACGGTAATGGCTGACCTCTGAATAAAAGACAAATTGAAGGATGGGAAGACTAATGAGATGCTATTGCACTGAAGTGAATCAGTGACAGTAAGGATTTAAACTTAGTCACTAAAGACAAGTGATATGGAATGGATTTTAAAATTCTTAGAAGGTAAAATTAGAAGTATTAGGCTGGAGAGATGGCTCAGTGTAAGAGCACAGCCTAGTCAGCATCCATGCATGGTGACTCACAACTGCTCTAACTCCAGCTGGTTACAGTGCCCTCTTCTGGCCTCCACACAGAGATACACATATATACACATAAATAAAAACAAATCTTTATTAAAAGAAAACATTTATTAATGGCCACTTAGAACATGAAAGAGTGTGATTTTTAGACTCTGTTATGCAGAAATGAGACCACTGATGTGATGGGGAATTTGCAAGTGTATATGAGAGTAAGGCAGTTGACTTGTTTGGGGGCGTGTCCAGACACTGAGAAATGGGGTAGGCAATCAAAAGACAGGTGTGGATTTAGAAGTGGGATCTTAGGCATGTGAGTGAGCACCACTGGACTGTAACGGCTGGCGAAGGCTGGTAGTTGCTGCTGCTTTATCTGTTGTCTCAGATGACTGTAAGAATTGTTGAGAATCAAACTTAGGACTTTGCAAACTCTAGACAAGCACTCCAAGGATACAGAATATTCCTTCTAAATTATGCTTGTTAATTTGTTTGTAGGAAATGTGTACTGTTGAAGAACCTAATGAAGAGTTTACATCTAGACACAGTTTAGAATGGAAGTTTCTATTTCTGGATCACAGGTAACATCACCTTTAAATTCACAAAAGAAAAATGGTGATAGTTATATAGTTCTAGATATTGATGGACTTAAGTGACAAATTTTCTAATAAGGATTTTTAAATTTATTACTCATTTTTGAAAAAGTAAAACCCACTTCTCAAATTAATTTCTGGCTATAATGTCTTTTGTAGAAAAGTTGTAATACTAATTTTTATTATTATATAATTTAGGGCACCACCAATAATAGGCTATTTGCCATTTGAAGTTTTGGGAACATCAGGCTATGATTACTATCATGTGGATGACCTAGAAAATCTGGCAAAATGTCATGAGCACTGTAAGTAGATCTTAATGTTTCTGTTGAGAACTATTTTAAAACTCACAGATAGATACTGTTCCATTAATGAGAGACAGAGAAAAGATTTAGAACTATTTTTATAAATACATACAGAAGGAACAAGTAACTTGACCTTGGTCTTACATGCAATGGAAGTCTTATAATACACTAAAGAGGTACATAGTTTCCCAAATTAGTTTAATCAAAAAACTCAGTTTTTGCTTAACATCAGTAAAAATGCTTTAGAACCTCACATTTGAACTAGTTGAGAAACTCCACTTAACAAATTATTTCAAACAGTGGTGTTCTTCTGATTTTTTGGTTAATTAAAGCTTTACAATGAAATGCCCCAGAGATATATCATACATGACACAGTATGTGGAAAAAAATACAGTTCATATGACTATCACTGTTGTTCCCTGAGTGTCATATCTGTGATTATTAGCTGTTGTTCCCTAAGTGTCACACATATCTGTGATTCTTTACTGTTGAATGAGGAAAATGTATAAGAGCAGCAGTAACAGACTGTAAAGTTGGGAGCTAGGAGATCTGGTTATTTGGGGGACCTTAAACTAGTTTTAAAAACCATCTTTATAGTGATACATATCTGTATACAGAGTTAAATGAAAACGACAGCTTTTGTTTAAAAAAAAATCCAGATCTTCATAGGAAAATATATACCAAAGAAAAAAATGCTGTTTCCTTTCTTTTTAGTAATGCAGTATGGGAAAGGCAAATCATGTTATTATAGGTTCCTGACCAAAGGACAGCAATGGATTTGGCTTCAAACTCACTATTACATCACTTACCATCAGTGGAATTCAAGACCAGAGTTCATTGTTTGTACTCACACTGTAGTAAGGTAAATATTCTTTTAGAAAATTTGTAAGGTATAGTGATACCTAAATATAATTTTATATGTGATTTGTTAATGAATGATAGTGATCTTTTCCCAGTTTTAGTATTTAATATTTTTGAATATTAAGCTTATTTAAAAGGTAGATATTTGATACATGTAGTGCGTAGGTATGTAAGGCCTGACTTGAATATTGTGATGTGTAGCAAAAGTTGTACTGACATTCAAGCACCAGTGTATGTCACACAAAACAAAACCCCGAGTAACTGTGCTAATTGTCCTTCCTTCATTTGGTTCCTCTTAAGTTCCTTGCTTAGTTCCTGCACATCATTTGTGGAATACCTATAGCATATGGATTGCATTTAGACAGTACACCGTACATATGCGTTAGGTTTGCTTAGCACATAGAAAAATTGTATAGATTTACTGTGATCAAGTGGGATACATAACAAACACCAATTGGTTGCATCTCTACCTGATTTTAAATAGGTGACCAAACATTAAAATTTGATTCTTTCCATTTGTAGTTATGCAGAAGTTAGGGCTGAAAGACGACGAGAACTCGGCATTGAAGAGTCTCTTCCTGAGACAGCTGCTGACAAAGTATGTTCCTCACAGCTTCTTTTTTAAAATATTTCATTTCCTAATAATTTGTGAGAGACAAATTATCCTTTATAGTTTTTATTTTGAATTTACTATTTTAAAATCTTATTTGCTTCTAAAAAGGAATTGAAGATCTTGCCAGACTTTGATATGCTAGACTGTGTTCCTTTTGTCGCTGTGAACTGTGATTTACTCCTTAGGTAGCCGTTTCTGAGGTGATAACCCACATTTTGAAAATACCGAGAATAGTTTTAAGAGGTAACCTTCCCTAAAGACACATGACTAGGAAATTATAGTTAGAATTTGGACTCTAGTTTCTTTGTTGTTCTTATATCATGTGGGAATCAGCGTATCGTCTGCCTGATCTGATGGAGAAGGAAGCAGAGAACCAAGAGCAGTTTTCTGGGGGTATAGGTGAGAGTATGGCTCCTTTACATGTGGGCAGAGTGTTAATCAGGGGCAGACTTTCAGCTGTGTCAAGCTGGCAGCTATGACTTGCAAGCACATACGGCCTTCTGACTGATTTCACAACATCCGTAAACTATACTTAAGTTGTTAAAAAAAAAACTAAAGAAAAGAATAATGGTGTCTTAATAATAGGGCTGCATGAAATGAGTGTCAGATTCATAAAGAACAGAACCACACCCAGTTGTTTATATTTTGTTCATGACTTCATTTGTGCTGCAGTAATTGAGTAGTGGTGACAAGGCCTGAGAAATACTACAAGGTTCACTCTGAACAGTCAGTATTTTGGTAAGAGTTGTCTGCTTCCTGGTTTATAGTATAACACACCGAGGAATGGTAGATTACTTGAGTGTCACATTTCCCCAGCCATGCTATATTCATGGTTAGTGATTGTTAGAATAGTGGGAGCTTATGACAATATTCTCAGTGAAATGTGAGCCAAAAGGTATCAGCTGGAATTAGCTTAAGGAGAGGGGTTTGGGAATGTCACATGGTTGGAAAGGGAAGTAGGAAAGGGAATGCTGTGTGGAGATTTACTGCCTGGTGTGCAGGTGGATTAAGAGCCCTCACAAGTTAGTCTCTTTCTGTCTCTGTCTCTGTCTCTCTCTCTGTCTCTCTCTCTCTCATAACGGAACACATTTAATTGGGGCTGGCTTACAGTTTCAGAGGTTTATTCCATTATCATCATAGTGGGTGTCATGCAGGCTGACATGGTGCTGGAGGCACTGAGAGCTTTTCGATCTTGATCAGCCTGCAGCAGAAAGAGACTGACACACTGGGTGTGGCTTGAACATATATGAGACCTCAAAGCCCACCTCCACAGTGACATTTCTGCCTTGCTTCCTAATAGTGCCACTCCCTATGGACCAGGCAGGCAAACATCTTGATCATTAATGTGAAGTAAGAACAGTCTGTGTGGAGGATAAGAAAAAAATGGCTTAAGAATTGGGATTTTGCCAAAGAAGTGTGATGATAAGAGGAGACAGGAGCTAGGGTATTGAATGTGTGTACACAGTTGTCATAGTAATCACGCACAAATTAAGATTCTTAAAGAGGGGAGAGATGTAGTGTCACTGTAGGTGTGACTTAAGCCACAGGATTGTGGGAATCAGGATCCTAACAAGAATGCGTAGGTAATGTGGCAGGTTTAGGTAAAAAATGAGGGTGCTTGAACTGAGATAATTGGCTTTGTGGTATGACCAAGAATTAGGGGCTAAAGACTAGTAAAGATTTTGTAAGGGTGAAACCAAGGACAAGAGAGTTTACAGTGTTGGGTTTGAGTAGAGGTGATTTGGGACTACTAATTCTGGGGAACACTGAGCCAGAAGTTAGAATGCCATTCAGGTATGTGCTGTGACGTCAGTACAGGATTGGTACATGACCACAAGATGTGACATAGTATGTGAGCTCCACACCATTGAGCTTATGGAGGAAGAAATGTCTTCACCCTGTGGAGTTATGGTCCTGAGAGTCCTAAGACAGAAACTCCCACTTGTGGTGAGAGCTACAAAGACACTGGTGAAGTTTGGTTTTTAGAGTAGACGAGTGAAGAAATATTCAGAGCTAAGGTGGAAAATGGAGAGTTATTTATTATGGACTTTGAAGGCTAATAAGCAATGAGAAATGGACTCTTCAGGCTGGGAAGAGCTGCAAATCAATGAAGGGGGAGGCAAGACATTGAGTGGCATGCCCTCCACCCCAGAATGAGTAACTATGTGATTACATATTTGCATATATGTCAGCAATCCTATGTAGCCCTGAAATAGGGATGTGCACTTGTTTCTTCTTCACTGCTGCATGTGGAAACACTTTAAAGGGACACTGATGCTATTTTTAGTGTGGCATTGGGGAGGAAGCACTAGATTATATGCTATATCTTTAGTAGGGTTAGTAGGGTTTTGCTTTTGGTGGTGGTAAGTGTTCTTATCTGTGTAAGACAAGGCTGTCAGCAGAGAAGGGGAGACAAAGACGAAGGAATCGTGGGAAAGGCTTGGGATAACTGCTGACTAGAGTTGAGTGTACACTTGAAGTTAGTGACCATCATAGGCCACCTGCAATTGTTTCCACAGACCCTTGAGCCTGTGAGCTGGGAGCAGGAAGCATGGTTTAAATTAGCATTTTGTTTGTACTACTTACAGGTGCTATAGTGTTTACTATAACAAAGCAGAGACAGAATGGCTAAGGTAAGTAAAGGAAAAGGTTCATAGAAAGATAGCAAGAAAGGATAGGATGGCAGTGGTTCATCCACATAGTAAAACCCTGGAGAAAGGTCACAGTTGAAGACTTTGAGCAAATGCTGAGTCCCAAAGATTTTTATAGTACTTTGTATATAAAATAAAACACCATCTTCATTCTGTTATTTACTTTTTAAAAAGTGATAAAGTGACAATTTTAATGATTGTCTAAACAAAGTCAAACTTTAGCAATATTAAAATAGGATTTTTTTTCTTACCTAGCACACACACAACACACAGACATACTTTTTAAGCCTTGTTTTCCAAGACTTCAGTCCTCCATGCTTGCATGGCAAGTACCTTACACACTAGCTGTGTCTCCAGCCCCTCGTAAAAGTGTGTTGAGATCTCTGCACCAAGCAATAAGAAAACATTTATTTTCTCTTGTCTCCTTAGAGCCAAGATTCTGGGTCTGACAATCGTATAAATACAGTCAGTCTCAAGGAAGCACTGGAAAGGTTTGATCACAGCCCTACTCCGTCTGCCTCTTCTAGAAGCTCACGAAAGTCATCTCACACAGCAGTCTCAGACCCTTCCTGTAAGTGCCTTAGCCTGGAAACAAACTTGTGTTTCAAAGAGCTCCTTTAAATTATTTGTTGCTGCCATCAGCACTGTTGTCAAGAGCTTCTTCAAATTCTGGTTTTTTTTTTTTTTTCAGTTTTAAAATAAAGTGACCTTTCTAGTAAGAAGCAAATTATCTTTAGAAAAGAGTTAAGGTCATAAAGCGATGATAGGTAGATGGTAATGTTCTGCTTAACTTTTAAATTAGAAGAAAAAAATACTATCTTTTGTTGTAAAGCCAAGATTACATTTGTATGAGTGTTTTGTCTGCATGTATGTTTGTGTACTGTGTGTGCTTGGTGCCTGTGGAGGTCAAAAGAGGGCATCAAATCCCCTGGAACTGGATGGAGTTCATGAGTGGTTTATCAGCCTCCATGTGAGTTGTGGGAACAGAGTCCTGGTCCCCTGCAATAGTAAGGACTGTTAACCACTGATTCTAGCAGCTAGAGTCTAGCTTTACCTTGTCTTTATGAAGACTTAGATAGTTGTCTTTAAATTGTAGTTGGTCCTCTGAATCTACAGCCGCATAAATAGAAAGTGCCTCCTCGAACATATGTGGGTTTCTTTCCTTGCCATTGTTTCCTAAGTAATACTACAGCTGTTTTATCAGGTATCCATTGTATTACTTGTTAGTAATCGAGCTGATTTGAATTCTACAGAAGGATGTGCCAGGTGATAAGCAAGTTCTGTACCATCTTAATGTGCATGGATTTTTATACCTGAAGGGAACTCTAAAGACTGCCCCTTGAGGGTACTGAGGATGACCGGAGGGACTGTTTTTAAAGTTTTCTACAACATGTTTTCTTTGTCCTAAAAAATAAATAATTAAAATTAATCTTATAGACATGGACTTAACTTTTGTCTAATAACAGAAAGCTGACTCAGCCATTTTTATATAAAGCGTATTTAGAGATTAACCATTCAGAACAGTTTGTACTAATTCTGTTCTCTTTTGGCTAACTTCAGCAACACCGACAAAGATCCCTACTGATACTAGCACTCCTCCCAGACAGCACTTGCCAACTCATGAAAAGATGACACAGCGGAGGTCATCCTTCAGCAGTCAGGTATGCTCGTTAGCTAAACTAACATCATAGCCCTTTGGCAATTCATTGATGTAGTCACAGGTGTCTGAAATTTCCTTTCTGTAAGTAAGGATCAAAATTTTTGCTGAGTATAACACTCAAACTCTTTCTCATTTTTCAGGTAAAAGCTAGATTTTCAGTTTTGAATTGTGAAAAGGTGCTAATTGAGAGCTATTATTAAATTCCTTTTGCCTTCAGTTCAGTCTACCCAACTTCTGATTTAGTGTATGTCCAAGGACCCATGCTGAATGCCATGGGAAAGAAAAGATACAAAGTTGAAAGGGTGACATACTTCATACTCAACAAACGACAAGGCTGTCATTGAATGATAAGAGCATCGTATTGGTGTTTGTAGTGGACGTTCTCACAGATGAGTATGAGCATCACTTCATTGTCATTTTTTATTTTGCTTCTAGTCCATAAACTCCCAGTCTGTTGGTCCATCATTAACACAGCCAGTGATGTCTCAAGCTGCAAATTTACCAATTCCACAAGGCATGTCACAGGTATTTTTGTTTGTTTTAGTTGAGCATTTACAAATGATAATTGCATTTAAGCAAATATGATTTTATACATAATGTATATATAAATACACATAATTATAAATGCAGTAAGTATTATTTAGAATATGTAGTGACATTTTAGTTACCTACAATGATTTTGGGTACCACTAGACCCTTACTAGACAGTATCATGAGTGCATATATTTTTCAAGATTCTTGATGGTCTTACACAACAAAGAATTTTCTTGCTTACTGTGGTACAACATCTTACATATAGCAGCAGCCTGTAGGTATGATCATTTTAAACATGAAATATACTAGTTCATTTTGTTCTTCCTGTGAGTATTGGAAGATTTGAGTAACCAATTTACATATTAACTTATTTGTTTGCACATGGGACATTAATTGAATTCTATCTATATATTGAGTTACATGTATCAGGGATGCTGACAGTATTTGCAATACCTATATTAACAAGCTATATAGTGAGTTTACAACCAGCCTGAACTGCATGAGTACCTACAAAACAAAAACCGGAATCACAACAAAAGTGAAGGAAAGCTATTCAGAAATGAGATGGTGTGAGTCCAAAGGAGGAGCGAATACTGAAATTAGCAAGAGAAAAGGAATTCCCAAAGCACTACTGTGTACCTTCTTAATTTGTGACTTGTAACTCATTCAGAGTTTTGGGAACATTAACAACACTACTGAATAGTAATAAACATATTGGTAAAGCTTCTACTTTATCTGGCAATAAATACTGATTGCTAGCAACACTACCCTGTAAGAACTCTATAACAGCAGTGTTATTATTAAATATCAAATTGAATCTTCAATTCTTAACTTATTTTGAAGTATTGACAGAATTTTATGTAATATGCAGACATACTTTCAATATTATTTGTTCTTTAATCATCCGTAAAGCACAGTCAACATCTTTATAGAGGTGTTCCCATGGAATATATAAATATTATATACTATGTCAAAAATACTACGAAACATTTGGTTCTTGTGTTTTCATTGACTGAGTAAAGCTCAGTACTTTGCTTTTTTGTTCTTTCAATTTATTTCCTGTTATCCTGTATATTCTGTACTTGTTTGTATTTCTTGGTTTATGTTTAATACAAATGCTTTAAATTGTGACAACATGACAGCAAGTTCAGTCACAATAAAATATATGTGTGATATAAAAATAAATATATTTTAACTAACATTTCTAAAAGGCATGAAAAAGTTGAGGTACTAAATTTTACAATTTTTCTACGACCTAATAGAATCCAACACATGATACCAGTAAATGCTTCATGCTTTAAAAAGTATTCAGAAGCCAGGCATGATGGTGCAATGCCTGAGTGGCAGAGGCAGGAGAATTACCAAAAGTTTGAAACAACCTAGTCAATGAAAGAGAGTTCCACTCAGGCCAGGACTACGTACTGAGGCCATTTCAAAAAAATAAATAAATAAAAATAATATTCAGTATCTTAGCACAAACTTAAAAAGAACTCATTAATTTGGTACAACCTTTTTGAAGATAGAATATAAAAGATTAAGGTGGGCATTTCCTGCTTTTAGGTGCAGTTTGCTGCAAGAAACTTTGAAGATAGATTTCCAGTAAAGTGAAATGCTCTGCTACTATATAGTACAAAATGTTCATGGAAATAATTAAATAGAGTCATCGTGTGTGTCTAAATTGTAGGAGCAGTTTGTTAATTATATATAAAAACCTAAAGATTGAAATCCCTGAATGTAGGATGACTTTCTTCATTCGTGTGTGCGTTCGTTCATAATTTCTTGGAATTCCTTAGTCTTTAAAAAACTATATATCAAGCCGGGTGTTGGTGGCGCATGCCTTTAATCCCAGCACTCGGAAGGCAGAGGCAGGCGGATCTCTGTGAGTTCGAGGCCAGCCTGGTCTACAGCGTGAGTTCCAGCACAGCCTCCAAAACAATACAGAGAAACCCTGTCTCAAAAAAACAAAAACAAAAAACTATATATCAGTTGAAAAGTAATATAGTTTTTTTCAAAATAGTATCAGAATGAAATGGTTGGTTATTTGTCAGAGGTGGTTAAGTGATTTTTGTATGTGGGGAAGAAGGAAGATACTGGGAACTAAACCTGGGATCTTGAGCATTCTAGACAAATGCTCTATATTTGAGCCCTCAAGCCCTTTCTTATTACTTTATATTTTGAGACAGGGCCTTAAAATGTTGCCCAGGCTACATTAAACCTACTATCCCAGGTAGCTCTTAACCTTGTGATCCTCCTGCCTACCTTGGGATGGGACTCCTGAGATGACAGAATATGCTATGGATTGACTCCGGATGTGGGCTACATTCTCACCTGGTGAAGTGTAGACATGAAGTGAGAAACTAAAGAACTTGTTCTACTAAGTTGTTGAGCTACAATATGAGCTTAGGTTGTCTTTTCTCTTTCTCTCTCTCTCTCTTTTTAAAGGTAGGAGGGGCTCACTCCATAGCCCCTCGCACAGTCTATGTAGACCTGACTGGCCCTCAACCTCACAGAGATCCACCTGCCTCTGCCTCCTGAGTGCTAAGATTAAAGGTGTGTGCCACCATCTGCTGGGAAACTGAGACTTTCTGGGTGAGAAGGGCATGGGAGGCTCCCAATACCCACTGGCACCTCTGACAGACGAGGAAACCACCAGCACCAAGAAGATCAACACCTGTCTTTGCAGTCTCCCTCCAGGGCACCTATGCAGGTCCCTATGGGTCTGCACACAAAGACACTGATGTAAGGTCCAGGTCCAGTGTCATAAGGCAGAGTAAAGGTGGCAGTTTAGGAGCTGACACTCTGGTCTCGTGGCTGGCACCACTGGCTTTTCGTGTTGTGCAATTATTAGGACCAGGGAATTCTAAGATGAGTTATACCTTGTTCACATGTGCCGCTTCAGTTTCAGTTTTCAGCGCAGTTAGGAGCCATGCAGCATCTAAAAGACCAGCTGGAGCAGCGGACACGGATGATAGAGGCAAACATTCATCGGCAACAAGAAGAACTGAGGAAAATCCAAGAACAGCTTCAGATGGTCCATGGCCAAGGGCTTCAGGTAACTCATTCTGAACAGAGAATCTCATTTACATTTTGGGTTCCTAAAATCTGCCCCCCCTCCTGCCCCGCTTTTTTTTTTTTTTTTATGAAAAGTCAGGTGCAAGAGGAATATTTTCCTCAGTTGAGTAAACATTGTCTACCTGTTTAATAGCATAGAGCTTCCAGAGATACCCATTCTTAAGGACATGGATGTCAGTATCCTTTTTTAAACTAATGAACTCCAAATTTTAGTAGGTTCAAATACTTAATATAAAAGTTTCATAGAACCTTTGAGGTAAAGAATTTACAGGAGTTTTAAATACCAAAAGATATTATTCATATTACTTGACTGAGATACTATACACATTACTTTAACTAGCAGGATCATCTAGGGAACTAGGGCTTTGCTGAAGGAAAACTAGGTTTGTGCTGCTTCTGTATACTGTCTGGAACTTTGAAAGACAGATGACACAAAGCTGCCCCAGCAGCCCTTAGAGGAGCATTGAGTAACATAGTTGATCTTATGGATAAGAGAGTGGAAGAGCCAATGTGCACCTTCATATTATTGCTAATTGTTCACGTGAGATGTCCTAATGACTGTTAAGCTTCATTTTGCCTGTTTTCTTTCTTTTTTCTTTTTTTAACTATAAAGCTTATTTAGGCTGGGAATGTAGCGTATTGGTAGAGTGTTTACCTGAAATGCTTGAGGCCCCAAGTTTGATTGCTAGCACCCCTGCAAAAAATGTAATTAAAATAAGGTCTGTGTGTGTGTGTGTGTGTGTGTGTGTGTGTGTGTGTGTGTGTGTGTGTGTGTGTGTGTGGAGGGTGGGAGGGAGAGAGATATTTATATATGTACTGCAGAATATGTGCAGAGATCAGAAGATAACTTTTGGGACTGTGCTCTTTCCTTCCACCATGAGATCCAGGGACCAAACTCAGGCTGTCAGGCTTGTGCAACAAGCTGAACCTTCCTGCCAAAGAAATTTCATTGAAATGCAATCTTTATTTTCAAAGATGTTTTTGCAACAGTCAAACTCTGGATTGAATTTTGGTTCCGTTCAACTTTCCTCTGGGAATTCTAATATCCAGCAACTCACACCTATAAATATGCAAGGCCAAGTCGTTTCTGCTGGCCAGATTCAAAGTGGAATGAATACAGGACATATCACCACGAGCCAGCACATGATTCAACAACAGACTTTACAAAGTGCTTCAACTCAGGTACCTGGCTGAAATACCAATACTTAAACTCTGTGTGTTGATCAATTTTAAATTTTTTTTTATTTTAATTTTAAATAGCTTGTTTTACATGTCAATCCCAGTTCCCTCTCCCTCCCCTCCTCCCGCACTCCCCTTCCACCCTCCCTCCCACCCTATTGCCAAATCCTTCCACATAGGGGATGTCTAGAGTCTATCATTTTACTCTTGGTAGGGTCAAGGCACTCCCCTAAGAGTCCAGGCTGAGAGAGCATCTCTCTTTGTGCTATAGGCACATGAAGACAGATTGTATACCAGGGATAGACACTGATCCACAGCTCAGAGCCCCATAGGTTGTCCAGGCCTTCTCACTGACACTCACATTTGGGGGGTCCAGATCAGTCCCATTCTGGCCTCCCCACTGTCGGTCTGGGGTCCAAGAGCACTCCCCTGTTCAGATCAGCTGTCTCTGCTGGTTTTGCCAGCCCATTCTTTGCCAATTTGCTCATCATTCCTCTCTCTCTGTCACTGGGTTCCTTGGGTTCAGTTCAGTGCTTAGTTGTGTGTTTGCCTCTGCTTCCATCAGTCCCAGGATGAAGGCTCCCGGATAGTTATAGACATCAAGTTCATTATCAGGAATGGGCATTCGAGGTGGTCCTTCCACTATTGCTTAGCTTGCCAATTGATGTTATACCTTTAGATCACTCGAGGTCACTCTGGTGCCTGATCTGTCTTCGATCCTATGATTCCCTCTTCCCCCTATTCTACCCCCACACCCTCAACTTCCTGTTCCCCCATGACCAACTCCCTTCCTCTTTACCCCCTCTATTCTTCCCAGGTCCCACTACCCCCCCTCGCCCTGTTCCCCATCCATTCAGAGGATCTTGTCTCCATCCTCTTCTCTTGGGTATTATGCATATATGCATATCTTTTAGGTTCTTTCCTGTTTCCCAGACTCTCTATCTGTGGAAGTGCAGACTGGCACTATCCTGATCCATATCTAAAATCCATATATGAGTGAGTACATACCATGTTTGTCTTTTTGCGACTGGGTTACCTCACTCAGGATGGTTTCTTCCAGTGCTATCCATTTCCCTGCGAATTTCAAGATTCCATTGTTTTTTTCTGCTGAGTAATACTCCATTGTGTAAATGTACCACATTTTCTCTATCCACTCTTCAGTTGAGGGGCATCTAGGTTGCTTCCAGGTTCTGGCTATTACAAACAATGCTGCTATGAACATAGTGGAGCAGATGCCCTTGTTGTATGAACCTGCCTCATTTGGATAAATGCCTAAGAGTGGAATTGCTGGGTCTAGTGGTAGATTAATTCCCATTTTCCTGAGGAATCTCCATACTGATTTCCAAAGAGGCTGTATGAGTTGGCATTCCCACCAGCAGTGGAGGAGTGTTCCTCTCTCTCCACATCCCCTCCAGCATAAATTGTCTTCGGTGTTTTTGATTCTAGCCATTCTGACAGGAGTAAGATGGTATCTCAGAGTTGTTTTGATTTGCATTTCCCTGATGGCTAAGGATGTTGAGCACTTTCTTAAGTGTCTCTTGGCCATTTTAGCCTCCTCTACTGAGAATTCTCTATTTAGCTCTGTACCCCACCTTTCAAGTGGATCCTTTGGTGTTTTGGAGACTTGTTTCTTGAGTTCTTTGTAAATTTTGGAGATTAGCCCTCTGTCAGATGTAGGGTTAGTGAATATCTTTTCCCATTCTGTGGCCTGCCTTTTTGTCTTTTTGATTGTGTCCTTTGCCTTACAGAAGCTTTTTAGTTTCAGAAGGTCCCATTTGTTAATTGTTGATCTCAGTGCCTGTGCCACTGGTGTTATGTTTAGGAAGTGGTCTCCTGTACCAACTCGTTGAAGAGTATCTCCCACTTTCTCTTCTAAAAGTTTCAGTGTGGCTGGATGTATGTTGAGATCTTTGATCCATTTGGACTTAAGTTTTGTACAAGGCGATAAACATGGATCTATCTGCAGTCTTCTGCATACCACTACCCAGTTATGCCAGCACCATTTGTTGAAGATGCTTTCTTTTTTCCACTGTACAGTTTTAGCTTCTTTGTCAAAAATCAGGTGTTCATAGGTGTGTGGGTTAAAATTAGGGCTTTCGATTCGGTTCCATTGGTCTACCTGCCTATTTTTGTGCCAATACCAAGCTGTTTTCAGGACTATAGCTCTATAATAGAGCTTGAAGTCAGGTATGGTGATGCCTCCTGAAGTTCCTTTATTGTATAGGGATGTTTTGGCTATCCTGGGCCTTTTGTTTTTCCATATAAAGTTGCTTAATGTTCTTTCCAGGTCCTTGAAAAATTGTGATGGAATTTTGATAGGGATTGCATTGAATCTATAGACTGCTTTTGGCAAGATTGCCATTTTTATTATGTTGATCCTACCAATCCAAGAGCATGGGAGATCTTTCCATTTTCTGGTATCTTCTTTGATTTCTTTCTTCAAAGACACAAAGTTCTTGATATACAGGTCTTTCCCTTCCTTGGTTAACATTATCCCCAGATATTTGATGCTGTTTTTGGCTATTGTAAAAGGTGATGTTTCTCTGATTTCTTTCTCAGTCACTTCATCATCTGTATATAATAGGGCCACTGATTTTTTTGAGTTTACCTTGTATCCTGCCACATTGCTGAAGGTGTTTATCAGCTCTAGGAGTAACCTTGCAGAGTTTTTTGGGTCACTTATGTAAACTATCATATCATCTGCAAATAATGAAAGTTTGACTTCTTCTTTTCCTATTTGTATCCCCTTTATCTCCTTTTTGTTGTCTTATTGCTGTAGCTAGAACTTCAAGTACAATATTGAAGAGATATGGAGAGAGTGGACAGCCTTGTCTTGTTCCTGATTTTAGAGGAATTGCTTTGAGTTTCTCTCCATTTAGTTTGATGTTAGCTGTTGGTTTACTGTATATTGCTTTTATTATATTCAGGTACGTTCCTGTTATCCCTGATCTCTCTAGGACCTTTATCATGAAGGGGTGCTGGATTTTGTCAAAGGCTTTTTCAGCATCTAGTGAGATGATCATGTGGTTTTTCTTTCGCAGATTGTTAATATGGTGGATTACATTGATAGATTTTCTAATGTTGAACCATCCCTGCATTCCTGGAATGAAGCCTACTTGATCATGGTGGATGATTTTTCTGATGTGTTCTTGAATCCGGTTTGCAAGTATTTTATTGAGTATTTTTGCATCAATGTTCATGAGGGAAATTGGTCTATAGTTCTCTTTCTTAGTTGTGTCTTTGTGTGGCTTGGGTATCAAGGTAATTGTAGCCTCGTAGAAAGAGTTTGGCAGTGAGCCTCCTGCTTCTATAGTGTGGAATACTTTGACGAGTATTGGAATGAGCTCTTCTTTGAATTTCTGGTAGAATTCTGCACTGAAGCCATCTGGGCCTGGGCTTTTTTTGTTTGGGAGACTTTTGATGACTGCTTCTATTTCATTAGGGGTTATAGGTCTGTTTAGATTATTTATCTGTTCTTGATTTAGTTTTGGCAAGTGATATCTATCCAGGAAATTGTCCATTTCCTTTAAATTTTCAAATTTTGTGGAGTACAGATTTTCAAAGTATGCCCTGATGATTCTCTTGATTTCCTCAGAGTCCGTTGTTATGTCCCCTTTCTCATCCCTGATTTTGTTAATTAGCATGTTCTCTCTCTGTCTTTTGGTTAGTTTGGACAGAGGTTTGTCTATTTTGTTGATTTTCTCAAAGAACCAACTCTTTGTTTCATTGATTCTTCTCAATGTTTTCCTGGTTTCTACTTGATTGATTTCAGCCCTCAATTTGATTATTTCCTGGCGTCTGCTCCTCCTGGGGGAGTTTGCTTCTTTTTGTTCTAGAACATTCAGCTGTGCTATTAATTCTCTAGTATGACTGTTCTCCAGTTTTTTCATGTGGGCACTTAGTGCTATAAACTTTCCTCTCAGCACTGCTTTCAAAGTGTCCCATAAGTTTGTGTATGTTGTGTCTTCATTCTCATTGAAATCGAGGAAGTCTTTAATTTCTTTTTTTATTTGTTCCTTTACCCAGGGATGGTGCAATTGTGCATTGTTCAATCTCCATGAGTTTGTAGGGTTTCTGCGATTTGTGTTATTGTTGAATTCTAATGTTAATGCATGGTGGTCTGATAAGATGCAGGGGTTATTCCAATTTTTTTGTATCTGTGGAGATTTGCTCTGTTTCCTATTATGTGGTCAATTTTAGAGAAGGTTCCATGTGGTGCCGAGAAGAAGGTATATCCCTTTGTATTTGGGTGGAATGTTCTATAGATGTCTGTTAAACCCAGTTGGGTCATAACTTCTATTAATTCTTTTGTTTCTTTGTTAAGTTTCTGTCTGGAGGTCCTATCTAGCGGTGAGAGCGGAGTGTTGAAGTCTCCTACTATTAGTGTGTGAGATTTTATGTGCATTTTGAGCTTTAGTAATGTTTCTTTCACGAATGTAGGTGCCTTTGTATTTGGGGCGTAGATATTTAAAATCGAGACTTCGTCTTGATGTATTTTTCCTTTGATGAATATGAAGTGCCCTTCTTCATCTCTTTTGATTGATTTTAATTTGAAGTCTAATTTGTTAGATATTAGGATTGCTACGCCCGCTTGTTTCTTGGGGCCGTTTGATTGGAAGATCTTTTCCCAGCCCTTTACTCTGAGATAACGTCTGTCTTTGGTGTTGAGATGTGTTTCTTGTATGCAGCAGAAGGAAGGGTTCTGTCTTCGTATCCATTCTGATAGTCTGTGTCTTTTTATAGGTAAGTTGAGGCCATTGACATTGAGGGATATTAATGACCATTGATTGGTGATCCTTGTTTGCGCTTGATTTATTGTTAGTGAAGTTATTTTGTGTAGTTTCTCCTCCCTTTTTCTTTTAGTGTTTTGTAAAGTATGATTCTATATTGCCTGTGTCTTTGTGAATGTAGTTATCTTCCTTGGCTCTAGGTTTTCCTTCTAGCATTTTCTGTAGAGCTGGATTCATGGATACGTATTGTTTAAATCTGGCTTTGTCATGGAATATTTTGTTTTCTCCATCTATGGTAATTGAGAGCTTTGCTGGATATAGTAGTCTGGGCTGGCATCCTTGTTCCCTTAGCGTTTGTAGGACATCTGCCCAGGATCTTCTGGCTTTCATCGTTTCCATTGAGAAGTCAGGTGTAATTCGGATAGGTCTGCCTTTATATGTTACTTGGCCTTTTTCTTTAGCTGCTCTTAATATTTTCTCTTTGCTCTGTAGGTTTGATGTTTTGATTATTATATGGCGAGGTGACTTCTTTTTCTGGTCAAGCCTATTTGGTGTTCTGTAAGATTCTTGTACTTTCATAGGCATATCTTTCTTTAGGTTAGGGAAGTTTTCTTCTATGATTTTGTTGAATATGTTTTCTGTACCTTTAAGTTGAAGTTCTTCACCTTCTTCTATACCTATTATTCTCAGGTTTGGCTTCTTCACGGTGTCCCATATTTCCTGAATATTTTGTGTTAAGGATTTGTTGGTTTTGAGATTTTCTTTGGTTGACGATGCTATGTCCTCTAATGAGTCTTCAACACCTGAGATTCTCTCTTCTATCTCTTGTATTCTATTGGTGATGCTTGCATCTGTAATTCCAGACCGTTTACCGAGCTTTTCTATTTCCAGCATCCCTTCATTCTGTGTTTTCTTTATCGTTTCTATTTCAGCTTTCAATCCTTCAACTGTTTGAGCTGTTTCCTTAATTTTCTTGGTTGTTTTTCTTGGTGCTCTTTAGATTCTTTGAGAGATTTGTTTATTTCTTGAATTTTTCCCCCATTTCATGGATTTTTTTGTTTGTTTTTTCTTCTATTTCTTTAAGGGATTTCCTCGTTTCTTCTTTGAGGCTCTCCATCATCTTCATGAAACAATTTTTAAGGTCTGTCTCCTCTTCTTCATCTATGTAGTGCTTTTCAGGTTTTGCTGGTGTTGGATCCCTGGATTCTGGTGGGGTCGTGTTGGTGTTTCTATTGCTGAGTGATCTCTTATTCTGTCTTCTTCCCATCTCTTCTTCCAGTGGGTGCTGGTGGGGGCTTTCTGTTTCCACTGCTCTCCTTCCTTACTGCAGCTGAAGCTGAAGCTGGCCTCGCTGGGGTTGGGGTCTTGGAGGGGCTGATCTCTTTCCTGAAGCTGGGCTCGCTGGGTTGGGGTCTTGGAGGGGCTGATCTCTTTCCTGTGTGGGCGGCTCTTCTGAAGCTGGGCTCGCTGGGTTGGAGTCTTGGAGGGGCTGATCTCTTTCCTGTGTGGGCGGCTCTTCTGGAAGCCGGGAGCGGCCCCGAAGATGGAGGGGGATGGGTGATGGGCGGGTGGTCCCAGCCAGAGACCCAATCTCACCTGAAGCTGAGCTCGCTGGGTTGGGGTCTTGGAGGGGCCTGTGTGGGCGGCTCTTCTGGAAGCCGGGAGCGGCCCCGAAGATGGAGGGGGATGGGTGATGGGCTGGTGGTCCCAGCCGGGGACCCAATCTCACCTGAAACTGGGCTCGCTGGGTTGGGGTCTTGGAGGGGCTGATCTCTTTCCTGTGTGGGCGGCTCTTCTGGAAGCCGGGAGCGGCCCCGAAGATGGAGGGGGATGGGTGATGGGCGGGTGGTCCCAGCCGGGGACCCAATCTCCCAATTTTAAATTTTAACAAAAATTAGAACATGTAACATTGACAATGATTATTAAAATATTTGTGGAGACTATGTTAACTATTAAATATTTTGATACTTAACAATTTTGTGATTTAAGAACCTAATAATTGTACCAGCTTCTTACAGTGTGCAGACTTTCTATATGTAAAAAGTCTTTGATTTCTAAGAGTCTTGAGTAGCAAGCATACTGAATAGAATGTTGGGGAAACAGGAATAGTTTAATCATTCCATAGAATTTTGGTAATTAATTAGTGTACATCTGTTACTATATTTGAAAAGTGTACAGGTGTGTAACCATTACTGACTTGCTTTGGGCATTTAATAGACATCTTCTCTGTATATTTTCTACTTCCCTTTCAAGACCATGCTTCTTTTAAAGTCTTAGTTTACCTTCCATTAAAGAATCCAGACTAAGTCAGCTACTCCAAATCAGTCTTTGCTATATTTCTCTCAGAATAATAGACTTTGCTAGTCCTTTTCTGTTCTGTCAGCCATTGTCCTATAACTATTGAGAAATCTTCTATAAATCTTTTTTAGCAGAGTCAACAGAGTGTCATGAGTGGACACAGTCAGCAGACATCTCTTCCGAACCAGACGCCGAGCACTCTCCCAGCCCCATTGTACAATACGATGGTGATCTCTCAGCCTGCGGCTGGGAGCATGGTCCAGATCCCATCCAGTCTACCCCAGAACAGTACGCAGAGTGCTACGGTAACTACGTTCACTCAGGACAGACAGATAAGGTGCTTGTCATTCTTCATTTATTATTTTCACAATCTGTGTGTGTGGGCTCGGGGCTTAGGAATACTTGATACTCTTCCAGAAAGAGGGGTTCAGTGCCCAGCACTTACCTCCAGCAGGTCACAACACCTTAACTCCAGCTGCAGGGGTTCTTATGGCCTCAGTCCATGTGGCAGACACAGTAAAAGAAAATCATAAAAACAAATATAAAAATTTACATATATTGGCTAGTGATAGGCTCAGGAATAGAGAACTTGCCTGGCATGGACAGGACTCTTCAGTCAATGCTTGGTATTACACTCTTCTCCACAACCAATCATTTTATTTTTTACCATGAAATTTTAGATTATTGTTTCCTAGTCCCATTTTTTTAAGATTTGAAATAAATACTGTATCTGTTATTAAAGACTTAACAGAATAACATCAAAACTTACTTTTCATCCCAAACTGGGCTGTCTGATATAAAACTACAGTTTGTACTGACTGTCAACAAGGCTCTTAACGGGATCTGTACCAGTGCAGCTTGGGTCTTAGTAAAGATGTTAAGAGAGGGTAGTGGATAATTTTTTTTCTGCTCAAAATGTTCCGCTTTTTAAAAAATAAACATTTGTATCTTCCTTCATTTTCCCATGTCTCAGGTGAGAAAATGTGTGTTTTTAGGAGTTGGGCGAAGTGCTACAGCAGAGGGGGTGGCTGTGAACTCGGGTGGTTTCAAAGCTTAGGTGCCTAGATTAAAAAAAACAGGCAACTGTGTCTTGAGTGGTAACTCTGAATAGCTGAATTAGAAATAATTTTTTGCATAAGTACAGTTTGCTTGGAAGCTGTTTTTTTAACTATAGGATCTCTGGAGTAAATACATGATCTGAAATCAGTTCATGTTTTTATTGCCTTCACTACATGTGTGCTACTGCTTATATATTTTGCTGTTGTATTGAACAGTATGATTTTTAAGATAGCAATAATGTTCAGACCAAGGAAACTGCAAGATTATATAGGCAGTGAGAGCAGAGAGTCTGTTGTTCCTTGGAACTCAGCTTCCTCAACTTAAAAAGTCCAACCTTAGTGCTCACATTCTTGGGGAAATCTTAGGCATGCGCCATCAGAATACCCACTGGGGATTGATTTTTGTTGGTGTTTGTTTTGTTTTTGTTGCTGGTTATTGGACCCAGAGCCTTCTCTGCATGCTAGGCTTACACACTGCTGCCACTGATACACATCTCTAGCCAGAAGATGATTTTAAAGCCTGAGAAGAAAGACATTAAACTAGAATACTGACATGCATTTTGGAGGATGCATTTTAGCAACCATTTGTAAATATCTTTTGGGGGGACAGGCAGGGGAAGAAGGAATGTATTTCAAAAGAATAACCAGCTCGCATATACTTGGTGTGATAAATATTTGTCAGACACTATAGGGGAGCAGATGAATTTTATGGGTTGAAGCAAGCAGATAAAAAGTGTGGTCAGGGAAAACTATGTGGAGAAGCTTGTTGGCCTATGTCTTAAAGAAATAATGACTTAAGGTTGGTGTGTGGAGAGTTTCAGAGAGGTGTTATGGCAGAGGAAATAACTACATGTCCAGGTGAGGCCACCAGATATAGATTAAAAAATGTATGTGGTCCAAAGATGGTTAGAGTATTCCTTGCACATCTATTGGTGAGTTGCTGGTTTGTTCACCATGACAAAGAAGTTGGCACTTAGTAGGTCCATGACAAAACAGACAGTTGACTCTTTGAACTTTATTTGTGTGGAAATTTTGAGTTGTGTTTTGTTTCTTTGGTTTGTTTGTTTTTCTTTTGCACCCATGAATTTGGTCCTGAAGTCTACGAACTATAGAATTTATTTTTTAAGATCTGACATGAGTTAGGTATACATTATTTCTAAAGGACTAGGAGTTTAACTCATTGGTAGAGTGTAAGTAGCCCAGGGTTCAATCCTTGGTGTTGCAAAAATAAATGAAAGTAAATGGTTTTTTTGGCCATATGGACTGTATTAGTAATAAAGTACATATCTGTACTAAACTTAGTACTGTTTTGTAGTTTGTCATCTCCATCTGGAGTAGTCATGTCTATTCACTTGCTGTCACAGTGTTAGGAATGAACTCCATCTCACAGAAAAGGCAAACAAATAATAACTGTCATGAAAGAAGAATGGAAGAGAAGAAAAAGGAGTAAATTCTGACCAGAAGTAATATTATATGTTGATAAATTTCACTTTGATTTATCCTTAGAATGTCATTTTCCTTGCATTTATAAAACAAAACCCTCAGTATAATTTTTCTATAAATGCAAAGTTTTTAAAAATTATTTTGTAGTAGTTACTTATGAATTATTGTCATTGTAGTAAATAAACTGTGTTCACCATATGTTTAACTCCTAAATACCTTGCCAATTTTAAGTTAACTTTTACAGATTTAAAATTTTTAATTGATAAAATATGTACAACAAGAATGCCTTTATTAACCATTTTAAAGTGGCCTTGGGTCTATCCACATGTGGTTCCAGCCATCACCGTCAACCATCTTCAGAACATATTTTGTCTTTCCAAAATGAAACTCATTAAACAACTCACTAGCCTTTCTGCCTGTTGCTTTTGGCAGCCACCGTTCTGTTTCTGTTTGCCTAAAGATACCTCGTGTCAATTAATTACCAAGCAATTTGTCTTTTAGTAACTGGTTCATTTACTTAGCATAATATTCCCAGGGCTCATGTGTGTTTTTACACATCAGATCCATTTCAAGGCTAAGTATTCTTTTGTATGTAATATGTAGGTAGCATTTTCCTTGGTCATCCTGTCAGTGGATACTTGGTTGCTTCCATACTTAGGCTACTATGAGTAAATACAGTTATTCACAAAAACATACTTGTGTCTGAGCCCCTGCTTTCATTTTGCTTTGGCTTAGTTCAAAGAAATGGAATTCTTGTAATTATTTGAGAAACTGTCACAGGGTAGTTTTTTGTTTTTGTTTTGTTTTTGTTGTTGTTTTGTCAGCTTGACACAAGCAAGAGTTTCAGGAAGAGGAACCTCAGTTGAGAAAATGCCTCTCTCCTATTTCCTGTAGGCAATTGTGTAGGGCATTTTCTTGATGAATAACTAATGTGGAAAGGCCCTGCCTATTGTGGGCAATGCAGTTCCCTGGCAGATGGTTCCAGGGTGTATAAGAAAGCCCAGAAGAGAAAGCTAATGAAACGTGTTTCTCTGTGGTCTCAACTTGAGTTACTCCCTCAGTTTCCTGCCTTGGCTTCCCTTAGTGGCCTGTGACTTGGAATTGTAAACCAAATAAACCCTTTCTTCCTCATGTTGCTGTTTGATTGTGGTGTTTTATCATAGCAATAGAAAGCAAATTAAGGCCGGGCGTTGGTGGCGCACGCCTTTAATCCCAGCACGTGGGAGGCAGAGGCAGGCGGATCTCTGTGAGTTCGAGACCAGCCTGGACTACCAAGCGAGTTCCAGGACAGCCTCCAAGGCCACAGAGAAACCCTGTCTCGAAGAAAAAAAAAAAGCAAATTAAGAAATAGTTTTCCTAGTCTGTTATATTTTTCTATAATCGCTGTCCTGATTTGCATACAGTGGCTTTCCATTGTTTGAATTTTCATTTCTGTAATGATTAAGTCTAGTGAGGACATTTTTGTGTGTCTGTTTCTGTTTGTATTTTTTGAAGTAAAAGGTTTAACTTTTACCCAGTTTTTAAATGTGTTGAATATTGTTTGATTTTAAGAGTTCTTTATATGTCTGGTTAAACTTAATGCCATCCAGTTGATTTTTTTTTTTTAATGTTACTGACCTTCCTTTGGTATTGTCAGTGTGATTGTTGTCAGTTTCAATATCATGAAGCTTGTGTGCTGTTTTTTTTTTCTAAGAATTTTAGATCTTCATTTTCAACTACTTTTTATATGTGATATGAAAGGTCCTTCATTATCTTGAATATGAGTATCTTTAAAAGTTGTTTTGCTGTGTCCCATTTTGTTATAATAGTATATACATGTATACATGGTTTGTTTTATTGATAATCTCAAAAAATAAAGTCCTTTAAAATTATTCTTGATGCTAGAAATTGACCCCAACTTGCTATGCAAACATTCTAACACTAAGCTATGTCCCTAGCCTCCAAGGAGAATCCCTGAAAACAGAAACTGGGAGCATGCTTTTATAAAATAAATAAACCTTCCCATTGGGTATTATCAATAAATATTTAGCTGACTGAGTTTTGCTTTGTCCTTTTGACACAATTTCTTTGTTTTCTCTCACAGATTTTCTCAAGGTCAGCAACTTGTAACCAAATTAGTGACTGCTCCTGTAGCTTGTGGGGCTGTCATGGTACCAAGTACCATGCTTATGGGTCAGGTGGTGACTGCCTATCCTACCTTTGCCACACAACAGCAGCAGGCACAGACATTATCGGTATCTCAGCAACAGCAGCAGCAGCAGCAGCAGCAGCAGCAACAGCAGCAGCAGCAGCAGCAGCAGCAACAGCAGCAACAGCAGCAGAGCTCCCAGGAACAGCAGCTTCCTTCAGTTCAGCAACCGTCTCAGGCTCAGCTGGCCCAGCCACCACAGCAGTTTTTACAGGTATGTCTCCCAAGAGGAAGGTGCCTTGAGCTGATTGCCTATTTTATAATCAAATAAGATCTTTAGTGAACAAGTTTGTAAAGGACCTTGAAAATCTGTAAAAGCTTATTGTAGGATTTAAATATCTCCAGAAATAGAAAACTTGTCTTGATTGGCTATTTTATCTTCTTCATCTTGGAAGGCTTTTTAAAAAGTCTTGCCTAGCCATACTTAGTTATCTGAACTTATGGCTAGAGTAAGAGGCCTAGCCTACTTCCTGACTTCATTAGATCACTTATTGAGTTTATTTCCTCTCTGAGGCTAGCATTTCTAGAATTTAACAAAAATCTTCTTTCTTAGATACCATCAAACTGTACTCTTCATTGGGCAGGGACATAAGAAGGATCCTTTTGTTAGCTTAATAGTTACCTTACTCATCAGAATTAGATTTTACTAGAATGTGGTTTTGTTGCGTTGTGTTCTGCCTGAACTGGAACTCACAGAGAACTTCCTGCGTCTGTGTGCTGGGATTACAGGCATGTACTACTATGCCAGATTATCAGAATTTTCTTGTTAGAAATTAATGTCAGAGGAGAAATTCAGTGTAGGTGCTGTATAGGTTATGATTAGAACTTAGACCCTAAAGTCAGGGTACCTCAATTGATTAATTGCTATACCACACACGCATGACCTTTGGCACAGCACTTATCAAACTTCATTGATGGTTGAGAGGTAATAATAATTCATACTTCATGCCTTTTTTTAAATGCATGTAAATTGCTAAATATACTATAAGGTATGTAGTTAGCTGTCATTGATGACCATGATACCAGCAAATGTAATAAATCATTCATATTAATGATAAACTCACACAGATACCATGTAGATAAACTGTACAGAATCTGCCTATCTGTAGGTCTAGAAGAAAGTCACCTAGATCAGGGCCCTCAGCAAAAAACCAGCAGAACTGGTTTCTATACTTTGCTATTGGGGGATCTGGGTTTCTCTGCCAGAGCCTATCTGGGCTAAGTGGAATACTTATTTTGGTAACAAGGAATACCGAAACAGCCTCATTGCTTAAATATTGATGAGTCACACTCACAGGCCTTAAGACTGAACTACTACAATTAATAACTGGATCAGCTATTATTACAAATAAAAAAAACAGTCTTAGGCCATTATTTAGGTGAAACATATAAAATCACCAGTGAGAATTAAACAGAAGCTTAAAAAATGTGATTTGCCTTAGGTTGTCAGTGTTCTAAATCTATGGAGGAAGACAAGCCCTTAAAAAGAGTCAGCATTTGGAACCAGGGAGAAGGCTCAGTAAGTGAAGGTGCTTTCTCCTGAGCCTGACTTCCTAAGGTCAGTCTCAGGTTCCCACAAGGTGGAAAGAGAGAACTGACTCCTACAAGTTGTTCTCTGACCTACCTCCACATTGAACTCTAGAGGGTGTACTCACACACACAGTAAATACATTTATAAAATGAACATCCTCTGCTTCCCTGCCTCTACCACAAACACGTGTCCCTAAAGCATAAGAACCGAAAAAATACTAGATAGGAAATGCTTTCCATAACGTGTTTATTTAGATAATAAATGCGTAACTTGGCTTTTTAAAATTTTTTTTTATTTAAATTAGAAACATGAATGCTTCACATGTCAATCCCAGCTCCCTCTCCCACCCTCCTTCCTAATCCCTCCACCAGCGCCCCAAACCCCCACCCAATCCCCACATCATTCCCCAGGGAGGGTGAGGCCCTCCTTGGGGGGGGATCTCCAAAGTCTGTCATTTCATCCAGGGCAGGATCTAGGCCCTTCCCCATGTGTCCAGGCTGAGAGAGCATCCCTCTATTTGGAATGGGCTCCCAAAGATCATACATGGACCTCTGTTTGAAAAAGTACTTGGGTTCTAATCAGGGACGTAAATGCCATAAATCCTTTTGTCTTACAAAGACTGTTCTAGTAACAAATCAAGAAGGAACATTGTAAAGGTCCTTGACAAGTTTTCTCATCTTAAGGTTTGGCTTGCCCTTGTGTTTGTGTACATAGGTTTCCTTCATATACATTTGCAAATGTCACTTACCCACATTAACTTCTGCTTAATGTTGCAGTAAGTGCATTGTCTTCCAGAAGTGTTTTACTCGAAAATTCTCCATTTCTCTCAGCTAGTCCCTTTTTTTGTACCACATTTCAGACAACCAACCAGAAGTCAAATGTGGTGAAAGAAACAGACTCTAAAGTTGAGGCTTTCAGGGTCAGACATGTGGACTAGTAATAGTAGGCCTTTGTGTGTTGGGGAAGGGATTGTTTTGATGTTTGATTTCTTGTTACCTCATACAGCCACATGGGACTTCAGCCTCCACCTGTGTCTCCTTTTTCTATACTATCTGTACAAACAGCATAGTAGGCACTTGGAGTGAGGGAAAGGCTTGACAGAGTTACATACAGGTGGACTAGCTCAGGTTAGCCTAAGTCTTCTGAAAGCCTGTGCTTTTTGGACTGCTGTGTTGTTGGGGAGGCAGGTACACAAGTGTGTGCCAGTGCAAATGTATGGAGGCCAGTAGTCAAGCCTCAGGCTCTGCCTTCGTCTTCCTTGCTGTTTTGAAACAGGCTCTCAATGGGACCTGAGGTTCACTCACTAAGTTAGGTTGGCTGACCAGTGAGCCCCAGGGATTCTCTTGTCTCCACCTCTCCCATACTGGGATTCTAAGCACTTTGTAAACAGAGCTATTTGCTCAACCCCAGTCCTGATTCTTTATCAGCAGGCAGACCTGTGTGCAGATGGCATTGTCTGTCTGACCAGGGAGTGCTCCTGCCTTATACAGGCATAGCTGTGCTGCAGTTTTCTGCTTAAAAATTGGGCCTGTGGGAAATAAAGCAAAAATATGTGGTTTGTCTCAAGACAATATTATTTTGATTCTCAGCACAATTCCTTTTAAAAATTTAAATTTTGTTATGCTTTCACAAAGAAGGAAAGGCTGCTGTTTTCCAACAATAGCTTTTAGATTAGCAAACAAAATAAGAATTTAAAGCTCTTGTCCCTGTGGACAGTGGGCATTGCGAATGGACAGTGTGAAGGCACAAAGCCATACTGCATATCCCTTCTTTTGTTTTTAGACATCTCGGTTGCTCCATGGAAATCCTTCAACTCAGCTCATCCTCTCTGCTGCCTTCCCACTACAACAGAGCCCTTTCCCTCCGTCGTCACATCACCAGCAACATCAGCCTCAGCAGCAACAGCAGCTTAGCCGGCACAGGACTGACAGCCTGACTGACCCTTCCAAGGTCCAGCCACAGTAGCACACCCACTTCCTCTCTGACACTAGAGAGGAAGGGGATGGCCAGAAAATACTTGGATAGCATACGGTTACAAGTTTAGCAGGTCTGTGAGGGTGGTAATGAGTGTTCCAGTTCCTGGATTAGTTGGTAGGGAAATGCCGCCTAGTGCTACAGATGTACATTAAATACCAGCCAGTGGGAGAAGATTATAGGTACACAGCCAGTTCTGACAGTTTCTTTACCGAGATATTTTTTTGATGGAGAAAGAGTATATTGCCAAATGTTAACAAGCTCAACTATCATGACCTTTGCTGAATCAGAAAAGCACTAACGATGTTGGTAGCTTTAGTGGTTCTGTGCCTGGTATCAAATGTTACAGAGGACACACCACTGCCAGGGGTTTGCTTAGATTGCCATGAAGATAGTTCAGTAGTTAGGAGTCCCCACCCTTTTCAGATCATGATGGAACAGTGATTACTTTCAGAATGTTGTGCAGGTTTGAATTCTTTGTGTATAGATGCTATATAGATGTGTATGTGTCTGGACGGACAGACGGACGGACGGACGGAGAGAGAGAAAGAAAGGAAACTTTGTGTACACAGCTTGAAAGCATTATCTGTCCCTTACAGGTATGAGTACATTTCATTATATTTTGACACCATGTACAAACTGGTAACAGCCTCTCTTTCATTTTGTTTACAGCGTAATAGTGTTCTAAGTCACTTTTTCCAGGGCACAAGTCTTTTTGTTAGTTCTGTGGCTGTGATGTCAGTTTGTTCAGTTAGGTATAATGTGCTGCTGGGAATGGATTCTTTTTTCAGGTTAAATTATTGCTACATTTCCATTTATTCAGAAATATCCCTTATTTCATTATTTTTCAATTATGTTTGAAAGTAGAATTGCACTGCTTTATTTTAGATGGTTGGTTGAGAGTTTGATCACATATTTTGATATATTTCATAGTTGGAATATTTATATAAATGGTTTTCAACAAGCCTGAAAGTGATTTCAAGAATGTTTCAGTTATAAGACTAAAATTTGCACACAAAACATTTTAGGCACTTTTTTAACATTCTCAGTGGTGGGAATTTTAACTTTTCGGATTTGTTGGAATCTTTTTATTATCCTTAAAAATGTCAGTGCTTCTTTTAATCAAAATGATTCAGGGTTATTTGAGGGGGAAAAACCCATAGTGCCTTGATTTTTAATTCAGGTGATAACTCACCGTCTTGAATTCATTGTCTGGTTTCAGTAGCAGTTTGAAACCTTAGTACATTTTTAGCAGCATGTGGGTCTCAGTGTCATTCTCAAGTTCCCATGAAGACTGCTGCATCTCTTGGACCACCCTAACAGCTATCACAGTTGTTAATGTGATCCCAAAATTGTTTCCAAATTACTATCTTCCTTTAAAGCTAAGTAGTCAGTCCTTTAAGAGTTAACAGTAAATACTTGCTCAGAGTAAGGGTGTAGAAATAGTCTTTAACCTTCATAGAAACACTAGAATATTGTAACTCACATGCTTTCTAAATATGAATTAAGATTTCATCTGGCAATATCATACTCTATAGGTAATAAACTCCAACAAAGTTACATGGATTTTAAAAAGCTTTTTTTTTAGATTTTATGGTACTAATAATGAAATTTGCAATTATGGAACAAAGTCGAAAATAGAATATAAAACATTACTGAGGAAAGGGAAGACAAGTGTGACAAATTAGAATTGACCTTAAAAGGAAGTGTGTAAGGGGTGAGGTTGCTCAACACGTTTTCAGCAGTGGAAATCTCCTATTGCAGACTTGCTAGGTAAGGGCTCTGGGGAACGAGGAGTCAGTTATCTGTCCCCAGCTTTGTTGTCATCCTTAGGTGTGTCTGTTTACCTGGCTGCAGTTAAGTTAGAAAGTTAGTGGAAAAAAGAAAACAACCAAAGAAAATTGGTACCTGCCCTTCTGCAACAGAAGTGTGGCTAGATACCGGTCAATAGCTAACATATCACGGAGTTAGTGAGACTTGTGAGAATACACATGTATGCAGGCTTATACACACATGATGAAGTGATGTAAAATAGAGCACCCCCACTGCTTTCCCTCCTTCCCATTGCCTTCTTGATCTTGTGCCATTCCATGTTGTCTGAGTTTGCCTCATTCATTTTTTGGCAATAACTAGTGCTAAGGATTTAGCTAACAGGAGACGCAGCATACTAATCATGTAATTCCTGTTCTTCACAGTTCATCCATCTTCTTGCTTCAAGCAGCTGAGAAAGGAGCACCTAGCCACTGACTTGGCTGTCCATATGGAGGGCTGTGCTAGGTGACACTTGGCAGCACCAGCTGCCTCTCAGCTCCTTAATTTTTGGTTTCTTTGGATGGCAAACTGTTCTTGTCTGCTTCCTACAGACTTAAGCATTCTGATGAAGATTCATCTGTTGCCTGTTCTTCATTTCTATAGCCAAAGTTGTTGACTGAAACCCCAAATCTAATTCATGAAAAGATACCAAATAGAAACATTTCTCAGCTTCTTATAAACCTTAATGTCCCCTGCTCTATTTCATGGGGATTCATTTTTCTTTAAAATTTTAATTCTGAGCAGCACTTTTTAGTTGAGAAATTTTTAGTGAGGGTCAAGTAGGTTCTCATTGCCCTGCAGGTACCTTGCTCTGGGCTGTTTCTGCGTGGGGTGTTGGTGATCATATGGGATGAGAACAGTAAAGTACAAGGCTGCTCTTGAGGCTGACTTCAAACCAGAGTGCAGACATTGGAAAGTACTCTTTTCTTCCTTGGAGTAGTAAGGGGGGGGGGGGTAGGAGGAGCTACATGCAAATGAGCACTACAGGCCCTTCCCCCAAGCTCCATCCTACTGTAGGGTAGCTTTAGAGTGCTGTGCTCTGCTGTCACATAGACATGGCTTAGGAATGTACTATTAATAAAAGAACGCCAGTGATTTTGAGTAGCTTATGATAGAAAACTGTGCAAACTAGTGAGTGTTTGAATTCTGTGTGCTGTAGTTGGTTGGTCATTGCCTTAATGCAGTCTCTTGAAGCTTGGAGCACTGAAGCAGTCCAGCTATATAAAGGGCATCGTGTTGAGGGAGATAAGCCCTTGTTCTGGCCTTAGAAAGGGACCCTTTCTTAAAGTAGACTACAGAGGTAGATTCTTTTCACTTGGATATTACTGTGTGTTAAAATGTTTCCACTACGTTGAGGCATTTTTTTTTAAGTGGAATGCAGATAGCATTTTTAGTAATTCATTTTTCTGTTTCTTTGGTGATTAAAGGTTTGTTGGTAAACATTTGTGTAAAACTTGTTCAAGCCTATCACCTTTCCAGTACCTGTGGGCCTGTTCTTAGCACCACGGAGTCCACATTAGAAGGTATAAACACTGGATATCAATACTGCTGAGGGCATACAGCCAGGAGTGAGCTGACTGGAACTTTTCAGTGGTGGGGAAGGAGCAGCACAAAGGCACTTGCCGTTTTCCTAGTGATTAAGAAAAACCTTTTAAGTGTGTCTGGACTGAGTGAACACTCTTCTAAGAGGAGCTTGTGAAGTAAATGCAAAGGAAAAGAGTTGACTATTTTTATAGCATATTTAATATATTTGTATATAACTATGAGTGTAGTAGGAACCCTCCACCTGCCTCCCACTTTTCTAGTCCCTCCCCCCCTTGCCATAGCCCTAGTACAGCCTCATCCGCATGGGTAATGTGCCTATTGTCAGCCTACCTACCAAAAGATAGAGCTGCTGCTTTCTGAGACAGGTGAGATGAGACTCTCATGCCTGGGGATCCTTTATGGGAGGAATAGCACACACTTAGAACAACATACCACAGTCTAAAAGCATCATTTGAAAGGTAATAAGCACTTTATTGCAATTATTCATTTAGATAATGTTTGTATCTTAGGCATTAACCGTTTAAAAAGGATCCCCTAATCATCACTTAGGTGAATTTATAAATGACACATTTCTGAGAAATGTTTAGAGCCAGTGAACCGTAGCAGGTTTATGGGAGTGATTTCAAGGTAGCCAAATAAACTCTGACTTTTGTTTTGAATGTGGTGGGGTCAGGAGATTGTAGATGCGTAGTTCCATTTAAACACTATTGTAAACCTATCTTGCCTATTGTGTGGACACCAAAAGAGACCAATGAGCCTGTTTCTTTTCAGAGGTCTAGGAATATGCATCTGTCTGAGTAGACGAGCTAATCTATAAATGGGTGGTAGTAATATTTTAGGATACAGTAATTTCAAGAATTTTTGAGTGTTTTAAATGTGCCCTGAAATGTTGGCATGTCATTTCAGCGTTCCCATTTGAGTTGCTCTTGTAATATTTTTGCACAAAAAGGACTGAGAAAGACTGCTTTGGTTGAAGAAAACTATAATTTGGTCTTATCTTAATGTCTCCTGTGGAAACACTGGAGGTAAATTTTGTTGGTATAGTTACTAATTCAGGATATTTAAAACAGTGTTGAACAGCTCACCAGAAATTAAGCAAACTTATATATTTAAAAATTAAAATTCTTTTTTTCCACGTGACTGTTTTGCATATTTTTTCCGTTGCCATGCACTACATTCCTTGTTTTTCTGAAACAATACTTTGAAAGATAAGTGTTTAACAATACTTTCTAAGCTGCCTGGGTTTTCCCAGGAAAATATCTAGTAAACTAGGTTGTAGTTGTACATAGTTTGTGGAGACTATTGAGATCCCATTAACACCACCAGCAAACACTGAGGTGCTGACCTAAGTGACAATCACAGTAGTATTTATAGAAGGACTTAGAAGTGGCTGGAAGGAACACTTGTTCTGAACGCAGTTTATTAGGTTCCTAAATAAAATGGCTGTGTATTTATTTATATTTGTATCTCTGCATTTGGTCTCATATACTTATGGTCAGTTTTGTTTTGCATCATGATCTTGTCCTTGAAGAACTGGCTCTTGTTTGGTACAGTTGTGATCCGGCCCCCTTCCCCAATGACTCTGCTGACAGAGAATCCATTGCACAGCAGGATGTCAGTGAGGGTCAACCTGAACATCCCTGCACTTCCCTCCTGCTCTGAACTCATTTGAGAAAAATGCTAAAAGGTAGCTCCTTTCAGCTCTGCTTTATTACCTTACTCCAGCCTCCTTCTAGTGTCACTTGTTGCCTTCTATGGCTCATGGGCACTTTCTATAGTTACTTTCCAAGAACAATCAAAGGGCCACTAGGACAGAACCAAGGGCACATGTTGCATGCTGTCTCAGCAAAACAGTATCTTTTAATGGCTGTCATCATTATACATATAGTTGGACAATGTATGCACACTAAAAACTCTTCAAAACTGTCTAGTAAAGCAGTGCTTGCACATGGGAGGCCTCGCTGTATGAGAATCCTTCCTGCTCACGTTAGCACTCATTGTGGCTCTGGAGTCCCACATGTAGGGTCTAGCTCACAGGGACCTCTTGGAGAACAATAGTTAAGATAGAATCAGACACAAATGGAATTTAATTACACAAAAAGTGTTTAACTCTCAGGAGGGTAAATTGAAAATCTACCATTTTTAGATGTATGCTTTTAAATGAGAGAAAACAAACTGTGACATTGCTTTTAAAATGACATTCAAATGGTTTGTGTTTGAGTTAGCCTACAGGAAAAGCTGTTATCTTTAGGTTGATGTATAACTAGACATTCATCTTCAAGAAAAGCATTGCCCTCAAAAAGTCCCTTATTAAGTAATGGATGTGTCAGCTAGAAGGACTGGAATTGAAACAATTCTAAAATTATTTTGAAATCTATTTTACTGTGGTTTAAGTTGGAGAGAAAGCTCTAGCATGGCACTTTCATATTCACCCTGTGTAAAGACTTGCCCAAAGACAAGTTAAATTAGTGCTGTATTAAAACCAGTTAGTGCAAACGACACATTAAGTTTTATCTCTGTACACTGTTAAATCAGTTAGTGGTTGGTGTGTAAACGTGCACCAGAGTCTTTGCTGTTCCCATGGTTCTTGCTGTGCTGTTGTTGACGTTGTTGTCCTTACTGCTTGGTTCTGGGTTTAAATTAAAACAAGAACAGACATAGCTCATCCTTTCCAGCTCCAAAGGGGAGAGGCATCTACTGATCTCCAAATAAGAGTACTTCCTCCCAAAGCAAGCATTTAATTGAAATAAATTTATTTAAAACAACAAAAAAGGATGGCCTTCTTTCAGGTATTAGCCTCTTGCCAAAACCCTAAACTCCACAGAAGCATGATGCCTAGTGAATGGTTTCAATGGTGCTATGTTAGGTTCCCTGGCTTTGATAAGCTACATTTGGAAATACAGTATCGAGTGAAATGTGGACTCTTGTTACCTGCTGAATATCGCCATTGTCATCGAGTCTGATACAGCTGGCTCTACTTGGTCATCAAAGCTACCCTTTTAAGAAGTAGAGTGTTACCAGCATGCTTTCACTCGGGCCTCTTGCTGTATGACGTGCACAGCTTTACTTAAAATCTCCATGTTCTATCATAACTCTTTTCCATTGATTCCTGTAATGCATTCAGAATCCAAAACCACAGCAAAAGAGCCAAGCAGTAGCAGTGGGCTTTTGTTTTGTTTTTTAAATGTAAAACTAATTAGATCCAAACTTTGTTTCCTGCAGTTTTAAAAATAAAGAATACCTCAGTGCTGCTTCTCAGTGTCACCTGCTTTATGTGGCACAGACGTGTAAGAGTCACGTTTGGAGCACAGAAAGACTATTAAATGTTTTTAAACCTGTCAGTGACATTTTCCTTTGTTTACTCACCACCGCCTGATTGTGTTAGCAGTGTTTACCTTGTAGCTTATGTTTTAATCACCGCTTTCTGGAACCGTGTAGAAGGTACAGTGGGGGGACATGACGTAGGATTTAAGGTGTTTTAATTCATGGAAATTGTTTTTCTGCCCCTCAGTGTTAGTTTTTATTGAGTTGGAAAACTCCTTAAAATCTTGCAGAAAAGACATCGTCAACATTTGCTGTTGCCTAACAATATTTGGAAGAACAGCCAACTACTAAGAAGTAACTTTCAACGGTTTCCATTAGAGTACTAGGTGTCTTAGCTGGTTCTTCACAATCTTAAATTACAAATTACATTGTGGACATTTGTCATGCTCAGTAAACTACATTGTTCTCTCATGTTTCAAACACATGGAATGCCTGGACATTTCTTTAGAGGAACCACCTTCACATTTAAAGAGACTATAATGGCAGTGCTACCGCGTTACACTAGAACACAGGCTGGGAGAAAAGAGCCTTTGCTGTCTTGAATACAGTGACTACTGAGGGCACTGTCATCAAAGGAACAACCTTAGCACAAGGGATGACCTGGACTCTGGACTAATCTGCCTATTAGTTCCTTGAAGGAAATGACAGAACATAAATACAATAAACTGGAAATACTGCTGCTACTTTGGTAAGTTACAAAGTATTTTGTATAACACACAAGGAAAAACAAGTACTAGTCATACCACTTTTATTTACATTGTATCTGTTACATTGTTTATTCAATATAGAAAAAATAGGAATACATTCATAGTATTCTCTTTTAATTTGGTAAGTCCGTGTTGTCAAATATTGACTATTTTTATATTGGGTGTCCTACCCAATTAAAAAAAAATAAAAGGGAGAACGGACCTAGCCAACAACTCTTAATGGCATGTTATTGACACAACAGTAAAACCTTATTTCTCTCTTTAATCCTAATTCCCAAAAGACAAGATAAAACTACTGATTACTGGCTCAGGAATATGGTTTCAAAAGTAGAAATAATTCTTTTTCCCAAGGAAATGTTTAAGATATACATATAAACACCCTAGTGGCCAAGGGGAAAATGTATTTATAAAAGGGTCATGCTGCAAGAAGATTCAAGCAGTCAGTCCCGCTGCAATGAATTAACACATGTCAAAGTAGGGGCCGAAGTGCTAACATAATTAGGCTAGAGAAAAACCCATACTTGTAAGTCAGACTTCCTTTTAAAATTTTTTACAAATAGAATCAATGATTATCTGTTTTGGACATAATACTTCATTAAATGGGTCAAACTTACAAATTAATACTACAAAATACAGTATTTTCCATTACTTTTAGTTGTAATGTACACTATGTACAGAAAGTTGCATATCTTAAGCTGAATACAGATGTATGGCTTTTTAAAAACCAGAATCTGGACTTATAAATAGTGCAGAAAATGCAAACGCCAAAAACACGATGCCTCCTATGATTGTCACTGGAAAAGAGAGAGAGAAGATGAGTGAGATAGCATTTCTTCCACTGTGACATCATGCAAACAAGACCAAGTTTCCATTTGTTCCACTCTCACAAACTACTCTTGAAAACGTCAGTGGCAAAACATTCCTCTCATTCTTATTTGGTAACCAGATCTTTCTCTGGGCACTGCTTAGAGAAAGAACTAATATATATGTTGGCAAGCAGCAGTTGGACTACAGTAAGTGGTCTTAAAAACTCACGTATCTGTACGAATAATGGGATAGCTTAGCATGAAGGTGCTGCTGCCAAGCTTGACAGTTGATGCCTACAAGCCTCAACCCAAAACACCTTTAAACATTGAAAATGTCAAGCCTCACACAGGTCTGCCTATCAAACACACTCCAGGCCAAACTTCACACTTACACAGAAGATGAGTTTGGCCATGTTTTAGATCAATTTGTAATTTACTAACTTTCAGTTGGTAGGGACAAGTCATGAGTACTCAGACCTAAGTGATGAGCATGGGAGACCAGGTCGTCTGAGAGGATCAAGCTAGCATGCCATTTCTATCACCTCTAATTTTCAAGCATTAGAACACATTTTGCATTTTAATTTAAAAATGATACTTTACCTGTTCTAACAGATATTTTTTGTGCTATCATCCTTCCTCCAATTACTGCCAATCCAGTGCATAAGCAATGTCCCACTGTTCCACCCACTGCTACACCATAGGGATCCTGGAAGCAAAGGTAGCTAGCATTAATTTGTTGAGTTGGAGATGCTGTCTGAGAAACACAGCATCACAAACACTTGTCAAAAATCCAGATTTACTCTAACTTTGTGAAACAGGAAATAGCTAGTTCAGGGAATATGAACAGTACAAGGCTAATCTGAATATAGAAATCCTGTATTGTACAGTATTGCTGTAGTTCCTGAGAGCAGAAATCTTGCTAAAAGCACAGGTAAGGAGTAAATCCTAATAGAATGAACTGGAAGGTATCAAACTGGAGGAGCAGTGAAAGCTTTCCAGAAAAAGACAGTCCAGAAGAATAGATAAGAACATGCTTTTGGGGGGCTGGAAAGATGGCTCAGAGGTTAAGAACACTGGCTGCCCTTCCAGAGGTCCTGAGTTCAATTCCCAGCAACCACATGGTGGCTCACAACCATCTGTAATGAGATCTGGTGCTCTCTTCTGGCCTTCAGGGATACATGCAGAAAGAGCATTGTATGCATAATAAATAAATCTAAAAAATAAAAATAAAAAGAACATGCTTTTGTGGAGGAAGAACAATAGAACATTGGAGTTTCTACACAGTCAAGGAGGTGCCAGAGAGGAGTCCCTGACAGGACTACGTCAGGAAGGGTGAGAACCCTGACTGCTGTTTCAGAGACCAAGGTTCAATCCCTAGCTACAAGGGATCTCTATACTCTGAAGTCAGCAGGGAGGCTGACAGCCCTGGTCTTTAAGAAACAGTGCTGACTGGATTGGGGTAGGAGACAAAGACAAGAGTAAAGCAGATGAATGGGAAGACGTGAGATGCTACAAAAGTAATCGGGTATGACAACCAAATAACTGAAAAGACATGGTAATACTCATGTGGTTTTAAAGGAAAAAGACTGCAGGATCACTCAGCGTTTACAAACTTGCTGATCTTCTTGAGGACCAGATTTTTTCCAGCACCAGGTTCACCTGTAACTCTATTTCCAGGGAATTCAATGCCACCTTCTGGCTTCTACAGGCACCCACGTACTCATGAATGGCATACACAGATCACACATACATACAAATAAATTATGCTTTTAAAGGAGAGGGGTGAATTATGGGTGCTGACAAATTAAAAGGAGTGTTTTCAGTCAAAAGTCAGGCATAACGCACTTGCAATCTCAACACTCAGGCTTAGGTATGAGAATTACCTGAGATTTATTTTGTTAGTTAATACAAGTTCCAGGCCAGCCTGAGGTACAGAATAAGAATTGCCTTTTTAAAAGGCCAAATTTGATAGTAAATAATATCACCATAGGAAAAAAAATGTGGACAAGTCAACCAGGACGTAATCAGCAGGATGAAGACGGCCAGGTAGTCAGCACCGGTGAGCACCTGTGATGTCTGTGATAAACCAGTAAAGACAACTTAAGGGTGGCGGCTTCACCTGGGTTCACAGCTCAAGTGAACAAGGCATCCTAGTGGAGGCCATGAGAGCAGGCGCTCCAGGCAGCTGGTCACTAGCATCCACAATTAGGAAGCAGTGATGACTGCTTGTGTCCAGCTCACTTCCTCCTTATACTGTCCAGGGTCCTAGGCCAGGGAATGGTGCCTCCACTACCCTAATCTAGTCTCAGGTGACACCAAGATCTCAAACTAACTACAGATTAACCATCCCATCCTGTGAGGTTTGGGATGTAATAGGATAGGGAACAGAGGGACCGAGGAAAGGGGCTTCATTTCCCCCTAAAAACAGAGTGGAGGGAGTAATGCCAAAAGTGCTCCAAAACTTGAGCTGGGAGAAAGGCAAAGATTTACATTATAAGGGAGGGTGGAACCCGGGGTCCAAGACTGCTGTGGTTGGTAGGAAGAAAGAAAGCTGAGTGACAACTGGTTAGCAGCCAGCTGCTGTGAGAGAAAGGGCAGCCTGTATACAGTCAGGATTCGGAAATGACCTGCACATGTACTGGAGAATGGACCACCACCAAACTGCTACCCCAGAAGACTGCTTCATTCCACCTGAAAATAAAATGGTACTTAAAAAAAAGGCTGGGCATTGTTGGTGCATAGCTTTAATCCCAGCACTTGGGAGGCAGAGGCAGGTGAATCTCTGAGTTTGAGGCCAGCCTGGCCTACAGAGCGAGTTCCAGGACAGCCTCCAAGACAATACAGAGAAGAAACCCTGACTCAAAAAAAAAAAAAAAAATCAGTAAGTTAAATGGTTAACAAAGACTGAAAAGATGTATTAATGGATCCTTCAAAAGCAATGCAGCGTGAATCACACAAAGGAGCAGAGCAGTGATTCCACATGAGTGCTGGGTTGGGGGCTGCAGACACCATATGTGCTGCGGCGTGCCACCTACAGACAGAAACCCACAAGGTACCCTGGCAGCGCCTCCGCCCCAAGCTCATCTGAAGGCCTGATTCTGGAACGCTTAGAGAATGAAGACAGGACATAGCCATTAAGAAGCACTCTTAAAGTTTCTTTTATGAGAAAAAGTTCCTTTTTTATTTTTTCCATCTCCAAATACAGCATTTTTAAGCTTCTTTCCCTGTGGCCTGAAAATGCTTTCTATTTTAAGCTCAAGAACTATGTTAAGGAACTTTTGTCTTTTGGATTTTTTGATTTTTGTTTTGTTGGTTTTTTGAGACAGGTTTGTACTGTAGCTCTGGGTGTCCTGGAATTCTCTTTGTAGACCTGGCTGGCCTTGAACTCACTGAGATCCACCTGCCTTCTGCCTACTGAGTGCCGTGGTTAAAGGTGTGCACCACCACCGCCCTAGGAAGTTGCTATTTTATGGCAGACATTTCCAAGGATTGAAAGTTCAGTCTGAACTAGTATGACTGAAACAAAGTTAACACCAAGGACATGCAGCTCCCCCAGGACATCAGGTCTGTGAACAGAGACTGAGAGGGGACATTACCGAGGGGACGTCACCCTCCCCACACTCCAGCAGCAACCCATAGGCATCTTCTAAATACATGTGCCCAAGGGCAAGACAGACAACAGGCTCACTTCGGTGCTGACTCCCTTGGAGCCGTAGTTTAACTGTTCAGTAAGGGTTGGAAGGCATCGAGCTCAGACTGTAGCGATTAGCACGACAGAGCTGAGGTGGGACAGAAATGCTCTACAGAAACAAGATCTGGGACATTCTGAGGCGAGCATTCTCAGTAACCCTCCTTGGGTCAGTGGGAATTCACAGGCAAAAGTGCTTCAGAAAATTTCTGAGTCATTAAAGTGATGTTGAAAAATGAGAAAGCTGCTCAGAAATTCAAGCGAATAAGTTCCCCTCTGCTAAACCAATGTTTGCTGTTAGACTTTTGTTTGGTGTTAAGACAGCCTCAGTGTGTAGCCTAGGCTGACTTAGAATTCAAGATCATCACTGCTAGGACTCCTCAGTGCTGGGATCACAAGCAAGTGACATACTAATTTATATTCTCAAAAAGGATTCAGAGAAGTCAGGAGAAGAGAGCTGAGCAACAAAGAAATCAGCCACAGCTTTATTTTGGCAAAACACAGAGAAAGGACCCCGCAAGATAAAAAGTTCAACAACTACAGACATGGAGACACACTCGGAGGCTAATTCCAAGTCATAAAATGAACAGATGTGCCAACCTTCCGGCATGGGTAGTCACCCTGTGGCCTGCTTGCCCACTAGTGTGGAGCAGTGTAAAGTGCAGTCTTGATGCAGAAGCGTTCAGATACCACTCACCTCTCTAGCTGCCAGAACAATAGTAGTGAGTTGCGAGCGGTCTCCCCACTCTGCCAAGAAGGTTAATGTGAGAGCTTGAACAAAAATGGGTGAAATAAAATGCAACCATTTCTTCTGAGGTATCGTTGTGCTTGTACCAGTTTCAATATCTGGTCCATTTAAGAGTTTGGTTCGTTGGAACTGAAACAAATAAAAATTACCATTAACCCTAGTAAGCACATCAAAATAGCCTAAAGTCACTCAGTCCTTCTAGTGCATTTAAATTACATGGCATATTCGCCAGAGCAAACACACTTGTGCACCCTCCCTCTCCCTTCAGTCTCAGTGTTCCCACTCCAACAAAACCCAACAAGCAGGCAGATGCTTAAACACACAGAATAGCAGTTCCCAGGATTCAGACTCTTGGCCATCAGTGACCATTTCCCTCCTCGAAGCAGTCAGTGACCCAAAAGCATATCAGAGCCAAGTTGTAAGAATGGAAACTAATCAAGTTAACCCATACATACAGACGTGAGCACTGAGAATCCTCCACAAGGCTCTGTCCCCAAGTGCCTTTGGCATGTTACCAGTGACAACTTACTTCTTCATCCTTCTTCTTTAACTCTGCTTGAACTTCTTCCAGCTCCTCCTGACCCTCATCTGGGCTCATCTTCAAACCTTCCCGAAGCATTCGAATGCCAAAAATGGCGAAGAGTGCAGTCGAAACATAGTAGGTATATACCCTGGGGATGACTGTTGTGGCATAGCCAAACAAAACTGTAAGGAAATGCCAACAATGTTAACAGGTGTTTTCCACAACAAGCCACAGGCACATGAACTCAAGAAATTGTAATATACTCTGTTGAAGGGAAACTAGTTCACATTAGACACATCAAATATGTAATGACCTGAAATACTTCTGCTTCTTTCTTTCCATAACGGAACCTTGGAAAGCTCACTGGTTTCAGTGTTGATGTCTTATCTTACTTCACTCTAGCAAAAGAGATTCAAATACAAACTAATGGGATCAAGTTCCCATTTTTAAATATGATTAAATTTGTGATATACTCACTTTAACTATATACTAATACAATGACCATAATAATTCAATCCATAAAATTAAATGTTTAGAGACTTAATAATAAAACCTTGGGCTGGAGAGATAGCTCAGAGGTTAAGAGCACTGGCTGCTCTTCCAGAGGTCCTGAGTTCAATTCCCAGAAACTACATGGTGGCTCCAAACCATCTATAGTGAGGTCTGATGCCCTCTTCTAGCCTGCAGATGTATATGCAGACAGAACACTGTATATGTAACGTAAATAAATAAATAAAACCTTTAAAATCCAGGAAGATAAACAAGTGTGATCCATACAAAGCTTTCAAGCAGGCATTGGAGTAGAGCTCGATGGAAAACAATACAGAAACAATTCCCACAGATTTCCAGCTGCTTATGTTTCCTCAAAGGAATGATGGTGACAGCACACATGAAAGATTCCACTGGGTAGATCTATTTGTTTGTTTATTTGTTTGGTGAGTGAGTGTTTGGCCTGCTTGCATGCCTGGCACCTGAGGTGGTCAGAAGAGGGTATCAGATAGATGCCCTGGAACTGGAGTTAGGGATGGCTGTGAGGAGGTACTGTGGGTGCTGGAGTTAGGGATGGCTGTGAGGAGGTACTGTGGGTGCTGGAGTTAGGGATGGCTGTGAGGAGGTACTGTGGGTGCTGGGAGCCAAACCTGGGTCTCTGCACAGGAAGTAAGAGCTCTCAATTGTTCAACTACCTAACCAGCCTCAGATTTTATTGTATTATTTTAATGGTTTTAAATTTTTTAATCTTTTTAAGTTTTTGCTATGTATGTATCATGTATGTATGTATGAAGGTATATGCACATGGAGACCACAGGAAGACCCTGAAGCTCAACAGTTTTAGCTGTCCGTGAGAGCCACTATCTCCATTTACAAAGAAGGATTACAGGCTTAGGCAGGCAGACACACTTGGCTTTTATACAGGTAGGAGGAGTTAAAACTTAGGGCCTCAAACTTACACAGTAAGTGCTCTCACCCACTAAGCCCTCTCTCCAGCCCTGCTCTGGGCATATTTTACAATGCCACAACTGTTTTGCTGAATACAATATATCAGAAATGAGATCTTTGTAACTCCTCAAACTTAAGTTTAAAAAAAAGTTAATGTATTTAGGTAACATTAGATGAAGTGCAAAAAAGATGTCGAGCTCCCAATAGAGAGATCAGAGCCATCAGGTAGCCCCGCATACGGCAGGAGGTAGGGTTAAGGAAGAAGACACCAAGCTCAGAACAGTGCACAGAGTCGCAGTAATGACCCTGCTAGCATCAGCAACACACACCGACAGCGCTCAGACAGCACATCCCAAGTGTGGCCAACAGCTTCAACTCTACTGTTTACAGAATATTACACTCACGAGGGAGGGAAGGAGGGAGGGAGGGAGGGAGGGAGGGAGGGAGGGAGGGAGGGAGGGAGGGGAGGGAGATCATTTTCACCCCTAACTCCTCCCAGGTCTACTCCCACCCTCTCTACACCCCCAACTCTGTCCTCTTTCTTCTTTAACTTACATAATTAGTCAAGACCATATACTCCTGGGTGTGAAGTCCTCCGCGGGAGAATAGTTGATCTACCAGAACCATGCTCTTAAAGAAAACTGACTCTGCCTCCCCGAGAAACTGTCAGCTGTCCACAGTTGCTGAGCCTGGAGGGCTCCTGAGCACATCCCCAGTTTACACAAGCTACAGTGCTGACAGGCTTGGTCTCGTGCAGAGAACCATAATGTTGTGAGTCCGAGTGCAGTGCTCCGTCCTGTCCACAAGTCTACTCCACTCTGGCCCTGACCAAAGGCTCTTACAATCTTTAACCCCCTCTTCTGTGATACATTACTTCTGAGGAGAAAATCAGTTGCTATTATAAAATATTAATACCTATACTAATTTTCAAATTGCAAATAGCATTCAAATTATCTTAAATATCTAAAGTACTCACATGTTTATAAAAACATAAGCTTCAATTAAGCATCAAGGCACCAGAGAATCAGAAATGGACATTGTTCTACATTTTAAGAAATTAGTTTCATAATGCTTAAGAGGCAAATGGCAAAGTCCTCCTAATAAATTATCTTATTACTATAGAACAGAAACCGTAAGGTAGGTAAAAAAGCTATTATCTGCACTTTACAGAGAGAAAGCTAGAATTCAGGGGTCACTCAACTTAATTCACCAGGGTGTGCCATGGAAAGTCAGTCTCAAACCCAGCTGTGGCTCAAAGGGAAAACATGTTCTGTCTAGCACACTGTGATGGCCCAAGGTAGCTCACAGGTAGCAACTAGATAATGCTGTTATTTGAGTGTTAAATTGACTTTCTTGTGGTGTAACATGTCAAAATTAGCACCTATAAAGCACTATATCAAAAAGTAACATAAACAGGAACACTAAAGAACGCTGCATCCCACATAAGCAGGCTAAGAGAAAGCTTAATAAAAATAACTGGAGGTGGCTTCTTAGAGCTACCACCCAGTGCATCTCAGGAAGAAAAGAGCGGTTTGCTGTGGCCTCCTGAATCTCACTTCTAAAACTGCAAATAGAAATGAGCTTATCTGGACTGAAGAGAAAGGAAAAAACTGAACTAGAATAAAATCAAGGGATTAAGAATAAAGGCTAGAGCTGGCCCAGTGCTTAAGAGCGTGTGTTGCTCTTGCAGAGATGCAGGTTCGGCTCCTCAGACCCACAGGATGGCTCATCACCATTCTGATGCCCTCTTTCTGAACTGCAGGTACCAAGCCCACACAAGGGGAAAAATACATGCAGGGAAAACACTCATACACATAGAATAAATCAATCCAGAAATTTAAAAAAAAAAATTAAGGACAAAAACCACCCGTAAATAAACAACAGGAGTATGTATCTTGGCTCTGAGTAGCTAGAAAATTCCATTAAGAAGTAAAATCTGGGTCCTGATGATGTATCTACTGAAACAATTTGCTATTTACTAAAGCCTGAGATACGCACATTCCAAAGTAACTGGGTGACAAGACACACATATGCCTTACCCCATTCATCATGTTCCCAGGAAAGCACCCCTTACCTGACAAGCATGTCATCAAGGCCAAGGCAAGCATGGCACCAGCCAGCACAGTCAGTCGGTTATAACGCATTGCCATGATGGCCGCTATGAAAAATGTCTTGTCACCGAGTTCAGACACTATGATGACTGATATGGCAGCGACAAATGCATGGATAAATCCCAAATTCGTCTGGGTAGCTGCATCTTCTCTGTTGCTATGAACAGGGGCGGCTGGCGTAAGTCCTTTCTGAAAATTAAAAAACAAACAAAAAATGTAATTTAATTGACATTCTTTCAAATGAGAAGTTGTGTTTGTCACAGTCATTCCACTGATTTATTACTTTAAAATTCTGAATGCTATTAGAAATAACAGTAACCCATAATTCAGCTCTCTATACAAAACAATTCAGAAGAGTACATTATGTCTAGACACCATAATTACCTTACTTTTAAGTATGTGTTAGAGTCAGTTCATTGCTGTCTCATTCAAGTTTTCACTAGTAATTTGGGTGAGGATTCTGGTGTGTTATTAAACATTCATTGACATGAAGCTGACAAGACATGTCACTGACACTGTAGAGGACCACGTAGGATCCAGGAAGCTCTCAGAGGCTATAGCCAGAGCCGGCTGTAGCTAAGATGAAGTTTAATATAGCTGGATGTGCCGATGATCCTATGATGAACTCTAAAAATATCCTGGAAGGTTATCTGATAAAAAGGCAAAGGAATCTTGGTGGATAATAACATGAGAGCATAACAAAACTTCATTGGCCTTTCCCAGTTGGCTAGAAAATTCCAAAGCCCTGCCCTTTAAAAAGGCCCTGACCTCTGAAGATCATCACAAATGAAGAGATTCTGAAACCGGGGCTTAGCAAGCTAGTAGAGTCGAACCCTGCCTGTTTACACTCTTAGGAGAGTTTAAGAAATAAAAGGAAGGGGGAGGACGGAGGGAAAAAAAAGGAAGGGAGACTGAAAAAAGAGAGAAAAACCGTAAAGGAAGATTACACAGCAGAGATTTTTATGTGGCCAGCATAGATGTGACCTGTGAAATCTAATACATTTAGCTCCTGGCTCATTACTAAGAAAGTTTACTGGCTGCAACTCTAAAGTAATCAGATGAAACGTCAGCGTGCCTAGGTGTTCCTTAACTGGGAAAGTTATTATGTGGCTCTATCTACACAATATGTAACATTTTCAATTTTTATTGTGTAGACTAGTTCTTAATGCATTACATAAACTTGACTCCATTATTCCAGGGCACATGAGAACTAGACCACTAAGCTAAAACAACTCTCTGTGTCCCTGGCAGTCAGCTCGTAATTAAGCAGGTACTATTTTAAAGGCTCATGCTCCCCATCAGCATGTTGCTTTTCTATCTATGCTGATATTCCTTCCAAATGAGCTCCTAGCTGGTCCAATAACCTGTGAGCATTAAGCATTGCAAAAGACATATGCACTTCAATAGGACGCCCTAAAAATTATGTTCCTACTGGAACTTACTTTACCCCTCCTCCCCCACACTACCCCTTCTGCTAGGATGGTCTGCAAGTCACCATCCTGTTGCCTCTTCCTCCTAAGTCCTGGAGTTGATTACAAGCATCAACCTCCACACATAGCCAAACTGTTTATAAAAACAGACTTCACAAAATTTCAGCAGCTTTTTGTTTGTTTGTTTGTTTGGGTTTTTCGAGACAGGGTTTCTCTTTATTGTTTTGGAGGCTGTGCTGGAACTCACTCTGTAGACCAGGCTGGCCTCAGACTCACAGAGATCCACCTGCCTCTGCCTCCCAAGTGCTGGGATTAAAGGTGTGCGCCACCAACAACCAGCTTAAAATTTCAACATCTTAAGTCCAAGAAAAATCTCAGGAGTAAATAAATATACAGCACTTAAGATCACTTGGTAGAAAATTCTGTATTTTAAATGATATCACAGTAGAGATAAATACTTAATATTTTCGTGGTTTTCTAAGCCTTAAACCCTTGGTCAAGTTGTTTAGCCTGTTCTATGAAATAAAGAATCAAGTTTGCCTGAAGAATACAATAAAGGGAAGGAAGGAGCTGGAGAGATGACCCAATCCTCTTCAAGAAAACAAGTTCGGTCCTCAGCATCCACACAAGGCATCTCATAACCCCCTGTGATTCCAACTCTAAGGGATTAGACATCCTCTTCTGGCTTCCAAGGGCATGTAAATGGCATACATTCGCGCGCACACACACACACACACACACACACACACACACACACACACACAAATACTTTTAAGGGAGAGTCCAGCAGATGGCTCAGTGGGTAAAGGTGCTTGCTGCCAAATCTGATTACCTAAGTCTGACACACAAGAATCATGGTGGAAGGAGAGAACCAACTCCTCCAAGCTACCTTCTGACCTCTATTGCACATGCGCGTGCACAAAAAGTAATAAACGAGAAAACAAAAAATGAAACAAAGTAAAACAAATACAAGCCACCCATATTCTCAAAATTTTCCTATATAAAAGACTAAAGAGACTATTAAGCCAGTCCTGGATGGCAGAAAATGAAGTTGTGATGACAAAGTGCCTTTTATATTTAAGTATCACAGAAGTCCCACTTGGGGCTGGGCCACCCACAGTCACTTATTCACTGTATTCTGACCAGCTCAGGTACTGTAGTGTCTCTGCCTGCTGGAAAAAGCTTCTGAGTTGAGGGCCGAGCTGCACTTACCTATGGATGGAAGGGTCAGTATTGAGAAGAACAGACCAACAACTCCAATTGGACTCAGTAGGTTCTGTGTGCATAATCATATATATGTGTGTGTATTTACATATGTACACATACATACATAATGTATACACAACAATATATGAACCAGAGAGAGGATGAGAAAGGACATGGGAGGAGTCAGACAGGGTAGAGGGAAGGGTAGAAATTATGCAAACGCAATATACTGCTGTGTGAAATCCTCATAAAAAATGAAATATTGGGTCAGAAAACAGTCCATTAGCTTTTATCTACTGCTCACCATATGGAAGGACTGGCTCCTTAGTCTGCTCAACCGTCACTGACTTAGTAAAATCCACAGCTCTGGAATCAGACTACCTGGGTTCGCATCCAAAGCATTACCAACATGACCTGACTTGACCATCTGCCACCTCAGGCAGCCACGACCCAGAACTGTTGAGTTTCGGGTGAATGAAGTCCTCAGGAGGGATGATGCAGCCTGGTACACAGCACGCACTCAGGTCTTACAGCACACGACAGGACCAGACATTAACCTACTCTATGTCACTTCTCTATGCAACTGTAAATTATACCTAGAATACAACATGTAAGCCCTTACCTGTGTCTATCCAATACTCCCCATCTAACCACACCAGTTCCCAAATAAACCTTCCTTCCAAAGAAGCCAGACAGCATTGCTAAATGCAAAACACAAGCTGAAAAATTAGCCTCATAATTTAATATTTTCTGGTTCAAATTATCCACCTTGCAAAGTAAAATCAATTATTTGAGAAATCAATTTAACCCAATACATCCAAACCACCATTAACTTCTAAGCAACATTGTCTTTCCGTCGTCATGAAGTAGTCTAACATTTTTCTCACTAAAGTGGTGTGTTACATACTGATTCCTCCCTCGTGGCAGTGCAGCCTGAGAGCTCAACTGGCTTCTGCTGACCACAGCCTCAGTCGGTTAGACTCCTTTCCCGGTGCTCTTCTTTTTGCCCCATTCGTCCAGGCTCCTCCCACCCTTTGCATCTCGGGCCCCTCAATCCAGCCCCATGTAAACCGTAACAGCGAGTCAGACAAGGGGTGAGAGCTACAGAGCTGAGGAAAGGAGCATGGGAGCTGACATTTCTCTAGGAGAAACATAACATCAACTTTGAAATGTTAAGTGTTGCTTAAGATCCACATAAGGTATACTGGCTGGCAAGACAGTTCAGCAGCAAGGCACTTACTTCTAAACCTACCAACCTGGGTTTGACCCCTGGGACCCTTAGGGGAAGAACTGACCTGAACAAGTTGTCCTCTGACCTTCACATCTGATGTGGCACACAGGTGCCCACATACAGACACACAAGCACACATTGATAAATAGATGTAATTTTAAAAATTCAAGATTAAATAAAAAAAGAATGTTCTATAAATAACTGAAAAACTGTTAAGTTGCTTTCCTTTAAATGAAGTATGTATTATATATGAAGCTAATATATGGGGGGAAGCTATGTACATGATTGTAAATGCATCCCAGTTTAAGAAAGAGCAGACATTTCCAGAGAGGGAAATCAGAAACAGGATTGGTGAGCCCTTTTCCTTAAAGAACCAAGTATTTTATAGCACTGTGGGCTGTACAATTTTTGTGGTAATTACTCAACTCTGTGGCTGTAACTTCAGAGCAGTCGTAAAATACTTCAAGAAATGAAACAGCATGGCTCTGTTGCGGCAGAACTTCCCTTGGAAAAAGCAGCCAGTCAGTGGGAATCTAGTGTGTTGAACCATGACTTAGACATGGGAGGCAAAGGGGTGCTTCTCACCATACAGCCATCTGTACCTTCTGGATCTTTGCCATCACACACCCAGGTATGGATATCACTTCAAAGACCTCTTTGAAACAATATATTTTTAACACATGTAAGGGTGTTGGATCCCCTGGAACTAAAGTTACAAATGGCTGTAAGCCACCCTTCATGAGTGTTGGGAACCAAATGAATCCTTCATAAGAACAGAGCTTTCTCTTAACACCCAAGCCATGTCTCCAGCCCCTCCAAGAACTGTTAGCCCACCTGCTCCTGCAGCAGATAATCAACTCCTTGTAAGCTGTGGCAGGCCTCAAGCAGCTCCCACCAGAAAGTACCTGCTCTGCACTTATTCACTCAAAGGTCAGGGAGCACATACCTGTGGGACAACCTTTGACAGAGTGTGGGTTGTGGATCCAGGACTAGATTCCTGCAATGCCTGACTAGACAGTGCCTCGGCGTGTGCATTCTGCCTGACCCTGACCATCAATGACAAAGAATAAAGCTTGTTCTAAGACCAGAGGGTAAACCACTGGATGAATGCTTGCAGTCTGAAAACCTGTACCCCAAAAGAAAAGTGTCCATGATAATAATAACCCAACTCAGAGGCAAGAGCAAAGTCCCCAGAAGATTCTGAATGTAAGACAAACTTGAGAGGCACTGTGGCTAACAATCTGTGGGGAAGGCCTGCTGCTGGGCCTGTCAAGGGTTTAGTAAACTGCCTGAGAGTAATGGTGAAACTAGTCAGAAGGAAA